GAAGACTGTAGGTCCCCCCACACATTCTTATTTGTGGCCCCCCCAGGGGGGAGGACAGTAGGTCCCCCCCAAATTCTTATTTAGGGCCCCCACCCACCGTTCAGGGGTGGAGGCCAGGGGGGACAATAGGTCCCCCCCTTATTGATATTTAGGGAACCCACCTGCCGCTCGGGGGAGGGGCCGGGGGGGCAATAGGTCCCCCCTTTATATTAAAAGACCCCACAGGCTGCTCACTGTTTAATAGACATACCCCTACTCGCGAGTAGGTGCATAATTTAATAATACTAAGTAACCAGCTTATATAGAGGCTGGGTCACATGCTGCACTGGCCAATCACAGCCATGCCATTAGTAGGCATGGCTGTGATGGCTTCTAAGGCCACACGAGTCAAACGCTTGTTGATTGGCTGCCCTGCAACCTTTCAAAACGCGTAATTAAATCGCCGAACACCAACCCGAAGATACTCTACCTACAACTAGTAGCACAAATGCTTTAACGTGTGCGGTGTATGCTAAGGGTTTATTGTTTGTTGTCTGTAAACCCTCCGTACTGCTTGCAACAACACAAACTTAGTTCCAGTACTGTGGAGCTGTTGTGGGTCTCCAAATAGATTACACCAAATCAGAAAACTTGAATATCGACATTTGCTTGGCTTTATTACTACTAAAAAAAAACCGCTTTCCTTTTCACTGGTAAATGTAAATAACTGGGCATCTGGTTAACCAGCTTTTTGCCTCAAGTTCCTCCATATGGCTACACACTGAATGAATGAACTAAAATGGTGTGACTTTCGATATCTCTCATGGTTAGTAAGAAGAACACCATAAAATGATTCTCCTCCTGAAAATGAAATACGTATTACAGACATTTCCAGTCCAAATCCCACAGGTGATATCTTTAAAAGCCAATGTAAGGTACCTTAATTGGAATGAAAGATCTCCCAGATTGCTTATTACCAATTGATCATTCCTGATGTTGAAGGGGATCTGGCCCTTCCAGACCTGGAAACATTTTATTTCTCTTTTTATCTTTCTTGAGGCGTGGCCTGCAGTGTATATTCCCAAAACAAACATTGTGTTGCTCTAGAAAACGCTTTCATAGACAGTTTTAATGCTCATTTCTAAACTTCTCAGGTTCGTAACACTTTTATGGAAGCCACCATTTGGTGCAAGATGAGCTTGAAAAACGTATTAAGTACTGTACCCAGCCCTGTGGTGTATTTTGGATTTGTGCTGCCCTAGGCACAACCAAATTCGGGCACCCCCAAATCTAAATTTGCCCCCCCAATTCGTGTCAAGGCCACTTTTTTTGGCTGACAGACACAGGCCCTCATTGATACATGCACTGACATACACTCAATTGCAGATACACAGTCATTGGCACACACACTGTTTAACCAACACACACTTTCACTGACAGACACACACTGACACACCCACTCACACACTCTCAGATACACATAAAATGACAGACACACACTTTCACTCACTCACAGACACGCACTGACAGCTACACTCACTCACAGACTCACAGATCGTGAGAGAGCAAGAAGAGCGGAGGACAGCACTTCCTTGCCACCTGGCTAGAATATTGGTAGTTTAACACCTCGGGGAGGGGCCCCAAGAAGGACAGCCCCAGGACATGAGGCAAACAAGGCATTTGTTTGGGAGCTTGGGGTGGCATTTTTTGGCACCCCCCTGAAAGTGCCGCCCTAGGCAAATGCCTTGTTTGCCTTGTGGTAAAAACATCCCTGACCTAGCCCTCTCCGGTATGATCCAGACAACTGAGGGGGGTCATGGAAGTGTCTACTATATCTTATAGGCAAGCAGCACTTTCTTACCACCCGTGATGGGTCGGTGCATCTGCTCACTCCATGCCATCCTTTTCCCAACTTTTTGCACATCATCAGATGTTTCTGAACAGCACTTCTTCACTCTCAAATTGACATTTCTTGAATCAGTCTTCGAGGTCTTAGCTGCTCTCTTCCCATCTTGGCCATATAGAAGATACTTGTGGTAAATTGATCCACCATTTTACCTTCATGCACGGCTATGTGAACATAGGTTCTACTGGCTTGAATATACCTACTCAAAGAGGCAGAACAACTTCTAGGCCAAGAGTGACCTACCTTCTTCCATAGCCATTAGATTGGGAACCATCATACTGTATTTAGCTGTATAATTTTTCAGGGGATTGTATATCTGTTACCCTTTCACATGCTAGTGAAATACTTCATGCTTTCTGGTTGAAGACTGCTAATGTGTGTATTTTTCTCTGTAAATATTTAATCGGCTCCATGTCCATGTTCAATCACATGTTGCCTGGTGAGGCTTGTCGTACGTCGTATCTCAGACTTCTGTTATGTACTGCTTTTTCAATAAACTTTATTGACTATGATATTAACATGGTTCAGGATTATATTCAGGATGTGCACTGCCTTGAGTCGGATAAACCCTATCCCCCCACCCCACAGCCTAGCGTTATAGGAAGGGTAGTTCAAAAACATCTGGTAAGTTAAGTGTTTGTTTAATATAAACCATATGTTGCACGATGCCTAGCCTTGGTACCACAGTCAGCTTAGGTCTAAATATGTCACTGTTCTGGTTATGTCTGGTTATAGGATTTTCTGTCCTTAAACAAATTATTTGTCAGCCTCCATTACGTTACTAAGCTCTATTCATATTGTTTCATAAAGGCTTGAAAGCACAGGCCAGGAAAGTACTTTTATAACATCGGTGCTTATAGTGTCCCTTTAATATAGTTTGCAAACTGGTCATGTACAAGGACCTTGGATCCCAATCTCTTATTAACTGACTACAGTTGTGACTTTTATGTAAAGGTGCTGCAGAGCCCCAGCCCCCAGAAAGTTGTACTTCTCTAAACCCATTTCCAAAGAAGATGTTCAAACCTCAAATGACTACACAACTGCTAGTCAGATCACTTTCATTTCTGGATAAATGTGCCAATTAAATCTTGTTCTTGTGATAGTTGGGTCCCATCAAACTTCACATGAAAATCATATTGTTTTCACTGTGTCCCACAAGATGTGATGGGTAACTCCAATGCAGAAGTGTAAGTTAATGGAGGGGGAACTGAGACAGAAAGTAATTTATGGCCTTTTTAACATCTTTGTGATCACAGTTTTTAGGAGATATATTGCAACAAAACTTGCTCTAAATAGATTGACTATTATTCCTGATTATTACAATGCCCAGTGTGTCTGGGATTTACTTGCATTTTACATAACATTGTAAGGAGTGGGTAATCTTTTTAAATCTCTACCTTTGTAACCTTTGGTCTGCTAAGACTTAAACTTCAGTAACAGACACAGAATCCAAAACGGTGACACAAAAGTACATATTTGTAGGAAGTAGACACCCCAAAGTTTTTAATTTAAGAGCATTTTGATACTTTTATTTAACCATTTCATCATTGACATCTGTCAGATCTGCTGGCTAGATTATATTAGTTATCATGTGGTTTTTTTCCTCCTATTTCATTTATATGTGGAACATCACACACAAGGTGTGATATATTTTAGGTCATCGTAGCTGAAGTGAAAGCATAGCTGACTGAAATAATTTTTCCTATTTGGCTATTTTTACGTTATTGTATTTAGTGAAAGGTGTGCTATACCTTTAGAATACTTTGCAATACATAAACATATATATAGTGCAAAACAATGCAAAAAAAGTGCACTATAATGTACAATTCACATAATTGTGTCAGAACTATTTTTTGTGTAAAATCCAACCAGTGCACTTTGTGGTAAGGTGATAAGACAAAGAGCGCTTACTCTCTTATAGCCAGAAGAAAGGAACTGTTTGGTATACATTTCCAGGTATGGGTAGTGCCAGATGAAAAAGAAAAAAATAATAGTGTAATTCTGTGATACAAATTGAAAATGGATAAGAGAATCCGGCAACTCATAATGGGAGAGCAGTGAACCTCTGCTCAAACTTTAACAGCTCAAGTATCCTATAACCATTACCACAATGTGAAAGGCAGGATGGCAACTTTTTATTGGTAAAAATAAAATATACAAAGGATAACAAGCTCTATTGCTATGTAATTGTTAGGGTCACTTGTCCTGGGAAGGAGGACATTCAGAAGGCTATGCCCGTGAGACATCCACACAAAAATCCTGGATTGTTTCTAAATACACTTTACATTGTACAGTGTATTCCTTTGGTCAACAAGTGCATAAATACATAACCACAACATTCATTGTACTTTATTGGTCACTAAGAAGTTAATGATTGTCACTGTCCATCTCCCTAAGTGATCTTATTTAGAGATCTTAATATCAAATCTAAGATTGACATGTCAATGAATAAATATGGCGTACGTTGAAAACCTTACCACTCAAAAATATAAGATTTGTCCTCTTTTCAGAATCTCCAGTGATGTGCAATGCACTCTAGACCCATCCACTCCCACCGTCTCCTCCTGTGATTTCATCCTTCACAATATTGCGAGCTATACACAGACAGACTCTGTGTACGTTCACAAGAGGCCCAAGCTATCTTGCAATACAGAACAGCTACACGCTTAGATACACAAATACGTGAAGACACAAATTTTCAGTAAACAAAGATTAGAAAAATATATAACTACAACTTGCGAAAGATTCTGCGCACAGAAGAGGCACACATATGCACATACTGCACACAATCTCTGCACACATTCAGAAAACAGAATCAGAACAAACAGTACAGAAATGAGCCAGTTAGTGTGCTGGAAATTAAGTAGATAATATAAGTATATATTTTGCAGTACGCAGATGAGGAGCATCTTCTTGCCTTTTAGATCACAGATCAAGTCAAAAGAAGTAACATATAGAATGGAAAACAGGATGAGCAGTAAAAATAATCTATATTTAAATACTATAGATTTATATTAAATATATAAGAAATATATATTGCACAGCTCTCACTTTATCTGTGGATAAAATCAACATTTAGTGACTGTCTGCTAACCACCAATAATCGTTTTTTTTTCCAATCAATATCTCGTTTTTTGGCACCCCTGGTGGGGGTCTATGTAGCCAAATTGGACGAATAATGGACGCCGCTTCATTTTTCAAGTTCAGTTAATTCGGCCTTAAATTTTGAATTTACTCTGAATTCCCAACAAATAACACAGTTTCTATTACGTATTTTATTTCCACTAGTTCAACATATAAAGGTAAATCTTCATTGTAAATGTTCCTTAATGCCCTAAATCCCTACTGCCCTGCTAATCGGCTCCATTCTGCAACCGGCCAATACATGTTTTTCTTTTTAACGTTACATTATAGAGCATAGCTTTCCATCTACCTCTACATTCCTTACTTGTTCACAGCATAAACAATATTTATCTCTTTTGTAAAATCCTCAAAAATAAAACCTACTGCAGTCTCTGTAAGCATCTTTATATTTTTATGTCCATCTCCTGAAAGTGCTTTGTATGACTGAAAGGGGTAAAAAAAAAAAGGTGCAACAAATATTTAAAATGAGAGATGTGCATGGGCAAAAATTTTGGTTCGGTTTGGCACTTCCAAAATTCAGGACTACGGCAATTCTTTAAACCTAACCCTAACCCTACCCCCAACCCTAGTAGGGGTAGGTTTAGGGGTAGGGTTAGGGTTAGATTCCTGTCATCATTCCCTTAATTTTCCATCCCTTTCCTGTTTTGCCTCTTTTCAGAAATCCGAAGCACTTCCAAAATCCGGCACTTCAGCAATTCTGTTTGGCACTTCCGAAAGTCTGCACTTTGGCAATTCGGACATTCGGAAGCATCCGAATGTCCGAATTGCCGAAATTCATTCGAATTTTAATTCAGACTGAATCAAATTGCACATGTCTATTTAAAATACAGATATTCATATACTAAAAATCCTTGAGTGAAAAAGCTGCACCTATACCGTATAATACCCCACAAAAACACACACACTCTTACAATCAGAAAAAAAGGTGTGCTATACCTTTACAAACTGTTATATAAAACCCACTTACAGTGAGGGACAATAGTATTTGATCCCCTGCTGATTTTGAACATTTGTCCACTGACAAAGAAATGATCAGTCTATAATTTTAATGGTAGGTGTATTTTAACAGTGATAGAATAACAAAAATAAAGGGTGTGCTCCTAATCTCAGGTCAGGGCCAGTGCAAGGATTTTTGCCGCCCTAGGCAAAAGTAAAGTTTGCCGCCCCCCATGTGACATCACAATGCTCCACCCATATGACCTGCCATGTTAACTAACGCCAGTGCTGCAGTGCCGCTGTGTTTACATTATAAGGCATGCAGGGACAGGCTATAGATACCAGAACAACTACATTAAGCTGAAGTGGTTCTGGGGACTATAGTGTTTCTTTAATGTGAGGTAAATTAGAGCTTAGTGCCACGAATAATATACTAGATTGCCTACTTACAACGAGATGAGGATGATGATGGGCTCTAGCTGCAGTCTGGCTCCACTGGTCTGGTGTAGAACAGGCTCTCTGGAGGCTGTTTGTAACTGTGGTCACAAAAATCAATATTCTGGGAGAACAGGAAGCAGCTCCATTTTTTGGGGGCCCTTTACACAGCTCAAGGTCTGGGTCCCAGGGTCCACCTTCATGTTCCACCAATGAGTTTGTTCACAGGGGGTGGAGTGTGTAGGGGATGTCCTGATATGTGTGTAAGGAATGCATTGTGTGAATCTGTGTTTGTATGTGTAAGGGCTGCAAGGTGTGTTTCTGTGTATGTACAGGATGCAGTGTGTGCGTGTGTAAGGGGTGCATTGAGTGTGTGTAAGGAATGCATTGTGTGTTTCTGTGTGTGTAAGGGATGCATTGTGTGTAAGGGTTGCATTGTTTGTGTGTGTGTGTGTAATGCATTGTGTGATTTTCTGTGTGCAAGGGGTGCATTGCATGTGTGTGTGATGGATGTCACTCTATCCCCCCTCCCTTGTCACTCTCTTCTCCCCCCTCTCCCTTGTCACTCTCTTCTCCCCTCCCCCTTCCCACTCTCATTGCCCCTCCCTCCCCTGTCACTCTCACCCCCCATCAATTTCTTCTCCCCCCCACCAATTTCTTCTTCTCACCCCTGTCAATTTCTTCTTCTCCCCCCTCCCCTACCAATTTCTTTTTCTCCCACCCTCCCCATTTCTTCTCCCCCCCTCCCCTACCAATTTCTTCTCCCCCTCCCCTCCCAATTTCTTCTCCTCCTTCCCTGCCAATTTCTTCTCCCCCCTCACAATTTCTTCTTACCCTTCCCCTCCCAATTTCTTCTCCCCCCCTCTTTCTTCCCTCCCTCCCAATTTCTTCTTCTCCCCTGCCAATTTTCTTCTTCCCCTTCCCCTCCCAATTCTTCTTCCCTCCCCTCCCAGTTTCTTTTTCCCCCTCACTATTTCCCCCCCTCACTATTTCTTCTTCCCCTCCTCCCAATTTCTTCTTTCCCCCCCTCCCAGTTTCTTCTTTCCCCTCCATTTCTTCTCCCCCTCTCCCCTCCCAATTTCTTCTCCCCACCCTCCCAATTTCTTCTCCCCCCTTCCCTCCCAATTTTTCTCCCACCCTCCCATTTCTTCTCCCCTCCCCTCCCAATTTCTTCTCCCACCCTCCCCATTTCTTCTCCCCCTTCCCTCCCAATTTCTTCTCCCCACCCTCCCATTTCTTTTTCCCCCCTCCCCTCCCAGTTTCTTCTCCCACCCTCCCCATTTTCTTCCTCCCAATTTCTTTCTCCTCCCCCCCACCTTTGTTGTAGCGTGGCCGAGCCTGCAGCATGATGGTCCGTGGGTACAGGTTGCTTTTGTTTCCTGTACCCGGCCGGACTAACAGGAAGTGCACACTCAGTGTGCACTTCCTGTTAGTCCGGCCAGGTACAGGAGACAGCTGCTCCCTGTACCCGTCGGGCCATCATGATGCAGTGCTCGGCCACGCTACAACTGAGGGAGTGACAGGAGGGAGCGCTGAGCGCTTCCCTCCTGTCTGCCCCTCTCCTCAGGCTGCGTCCGGGCAGTGCGGTCCGCCCTCATGGATGCACCGCCCGTGCAAAGCTGCAGCCGCCTGAGGCTCTCTACAGAGGGCTCGGGCGGCTGCAGCATGGGGGGGCCGGCGCTCCTGGCAGCGCCCGCTCCCAAGGGGCGCCCTAGGCGTCTGCCTAGCCCGCCTAACAGGTAGCGCCGGCCCTGTCTCAGGTCGTTACCTGTATAAAAGGCACCTGTCCACAGAAGCAATTAATCAATAAATCAGATTCCAAACTCTCCATCATGGCCAAGACCAAAGAGCTGTCCAAGGATGTCAGGGACAAGATTGTAGACCTACACAAGGCTGGAATGGGCAACAAGACCATTGCCAAGCAGCTTGGTGAGAAGGTGACGACAGTTGGTGCGATTAATCGCAAATGGAAGAAACACAAAATAACTGTCAGTCTCCCTTGGTCTGGTGCTCCATGCAAGATCTCACCTCATGGAGTTTCAATGATCATGAGAACAGTGAGGACTCGGCCCAGAACTACATGGGAGGATCTTGTTAATGATCTCAAGGCAGCTGGGACCATAGTCACGAAGAAAACAATTGGTAACACAGTATGCCGTGAAGGACTGAAATCCTGCAGCACCCACAATGTTCCCCTGCTCAAGAAAGTACAGGCCCGTCTGAAGTTTGCCAATGAACATCTGAATGATTCAGAGGAGAACTGGGTGAAAGTGTTGTGGTCAGATGAGACCAAAATCGAGTTCATTGGCATCAACTCAAATCACTGTGTTTGGAGGAGGAGGAATGCTGCCTATGAACCCAAGAACACCATCCCAACTGTCAAACATGAAGGTGGAAACATTATGCTTTGGGGGTGTTTTTCTGCTAAGGGGACAGGAAAACTGCACCGCATCAAAGGGACAATGGTACCATCAAATCTTGGGTGAGAACCTCCTTCCCTCAGCCAGGGCATTGATGGGGAAATGGGGCATAACAATGACTCAAAACACACAGCCAACAATGGAGTGGCTCAAGAAGAAGCACATTAAGGCCCTGCAGTTGCCTAGCCAGTCTCCAGACCTTAATCCAATAGAAAATCTGTGGAGGGAACTGAAGGTTCGAGTTGCCAAAAGTCAGCCTCGAAACTTTAATGACTTGGAGAGGATCTGCAAAGAGGAGTGGGACAAATCCCTCCTGAGACGTGTGTAAACCTAGTGGCCAACTACAAGAAACGTCTGACCTCTGTGATTGCCAACAAGGGTTTTTCTACCAAATACTAAGTCGAAGGGGTCAAATACTTATTTCACTCATTGACATGCAAATCAATTTTAAACTTTTTTGACATGCGTGTTTCTCGATTTTTTTTTTTCGTTATTCTGTCTCTAACTATTAAAATACACCCACCATTAAAATTATAGACTGATCATTTCTTTATCAGTGGGCAAACATTCAAAATCAGCAGGGGATTAATACTTTTCCCCCTCACTGTACATACTTAGTTATGATTGCACTTGTAAACACTCGTTCTTCTATAATTGCACAGTGCACTTTTTCACCCAATATTTGCACTAAGTACATAAGTGGTTTTATATCACAGTTTTTAAAGATATTGCGCACCTTTTTTTTTGATTGTATATATATAGAACTGTCTATATAATGCTTGTAAGGCACACGTATAAAAGTGCTTTATGAAAAGATGGATAAAATACATAATTTAATAAATGGGCAAAAGTAGAGGAGATAATTTGCCTGGATTCTGAGCTTCACAGATGGAGGATGCCAATGACAAATCAATTCAAGGAGCTTTTCCTAAACCAATGCAGGGCCAGTTCAATTTAAACATGCTTTTGGTACAGGGGCTCATTTACATTTGCATCAAGATTAAATATATAAAAGATGCCTGTTTCAGAGACCCCTCACAATATACTAATGTTTTAATTCATTGAATGGCACAGAAAAGTAAATACTAATGTACAAAATCAGAATATGTGCAATGATGCGATGGGTATTACCTACGGCTTTGCTTTACATACCACTTGTGTTTTGTGTGAACTACCCGGGCTGTCTTTGGCCACATGAGAGAAACAGGTGGAGGCAAATTCATAGCTTTAAGATTACCTATAAATCCTGTTGTGTTCATTGACTTCAATGTTTTAATCAATTTCCTTTGGGACACGTTTCAAAATAATTGGAGCGTCATGAAACGTGTCCAGCCAGACACAACTTCTGTCTCGCACGGTGGATGTGAGAAGAGAACGGACATTTGAAGAACTTGATTCACAGCCATTAAGAGCACTTAAACGATTAACTCTATATTTCCATAGACGCTACAGTCAACTGGCTTTTAGACAACCAAGGAAATGAAACATTTCATATTTTTAAAATTTTCAAAGCATTTAATAACCAGACAAGTACACATTTAAAACATAAATATTATGTTTATGGATATTGCAGATACATTCTGCTGGCCTGTTATGGGGCAGGACTCATCAGTTACTGTTTTTTGGCAGAGGAGGAACTATCGCCCAGGGCTGCTCTAGATTCTCTAGGGTAGAACTCGTTCAGCATGGCCTCCGGAATACGCTTTAACAGTTCTTTGGGGAAGATACGCAGGAGTTGCCACCCAATGTCCAGCGACTCAAAGATTGTTCGATTATCATAAGCACCTAAAATACAACAATCAGCATAATATATGAGTGAAACCTCAAAATGTATGGTATGGAAATCTTCAAAAAATATAAAGTATACTGCTGTGTCAACATATAGCAAGCTCCCAAAGTACCCAGCAGAGAATTACGAGCTTTCTATGTGAAGGAGTAGGAGAGCATCTCCTAATTCTCCTTCATCAGTGGTCTTTAGAAAAGATTAAAGACCCCAGCACATCAAACTATAATTTAGCATCAAACTGATGGAGTAATGAATTATTATTATTATGGTATTTATATAGCACCATCAAATTCCGCAGCGCTTTACAATGGGTGGACGAACAGACATGTAGTTATAACCAGACAAGTTGGACACACAGGAACAGAGGGGTTGAGGGCTCTGCTCAATGAGCTTACATGCTAGAGGGAGTGGGGTAAAATGACACAAAAAGGTAAGAATCAACCAGAATGGAGCAATGATAGCTTAGATTTCAAGCGTCATCATATTAAACACCAATGGTTGCTGACTCACAACTTGTGCATTCACTACAAGCGGAGTATGTCCTGGTGGGTCCATAAAAATGCTACATTTTTCAGAGAAGGGAGATAATTTATCAGCAAGCTTTCCAGTGAACAGGGAAATATAACTCATTTTTAAATCAGGAGTTCTAATTGGCCTCACATTCCACACCCTTAAGGGTAAAAAGGTATTGCTCCCATGCCATGGACTTTTGGAGAGACATGAAGGCCAGCCTCCTGTACACAGAATATGGGCCTGGTCCCAAGAGCCTCTAAAAGGTGCAGATTCTCTCATCAGGGTGCTATTTGGACAGTGAGGTCATTCGTGACCAGCTTTCCAGAGATATATATTGTGTGGGGGTACAGTCCAGAGTAAGGTTGTTCTGTCGGACATCTTGTGTCCTGTGCGTGTAGGAATGTGAAGACACATCAGGGGTCTGATTGTGTTAACTGGGGATAATGCAATCAAGTCCCTAGACAAGGTGGCACCAGGTAGGGACAATTGTGCTATACATTATATTGTATGGAGTACCACATGCAGAGGCAGTCAACATTGCATAGCTGTGTGCTGTGCAATTAAGGTCATTCTACCCCCTACTTTCAAACTCATCTAATGTGTAGGGGAAATGATTTAGTAACGCTATAATCACTTGCTCAACAGGAAAGAGGGTCTCTAGAGCTATATTTACTGCAGCCTGGTCTGGCGGGAGGGGTCCTCAAAGACCCCAGTCAAACTTCATCAAGTGGGTCTGAAGTGCTCTAGAGATCCCTGGTGGCAGCTAGGAAGCTGACCTGGCAGAGGTCAGAATACAGGAGCTCTGTCACAGATACCACCAATGGAATTCACAGGTAATAACAGGTATATATGTTTAGTTTTGTGGTTCTTTTTTTTCATAATCGGGACTGGCCATATAGATTGAGATTTTATGTGCAGCTTTTTGTCCTGGATGCTCACCTTGAGCAATAAACTGCTTCTCAAACTTCTGCAGAAACTCCAGGTAGAGGAGATCATCAGAGGACAAAGCTTCTTCACCGACCACAGCTTTCATTGCCTGGACATCCTTCCCAATAGCATAGCAGGCATACTGTTCAAACATAATGAAATACTGTTACTTACAGAGTTCTGTTATACTCAATTGCATGCAATACGCACATACAATATAAACATCACTGGTTTCTTGATAGCTTTAGAATAAAAACATTTGGTTTATTTTCACCCTATGTTGTTGTAGTTATGTTGTTGAGTTGGTGCCTGTTTATAGAATGCATTGTGTAGATCATATTCAACCAGTCAAGCCATAAGGTGGAATTCAGACATTACTGATTCCTTACAGTCACCAAGTCTAAGTTCACAGACTAAATGCCTCAATATAAAAGTACTCCTGTGAACCACAGCGAATGATTCCCCAAACCACAAGCCTTGCCCAATGCAAAATCAGTGCTTCCTTATACCATGCTAAGCAGTAGTTGGTCGTGTCAATGCTGCAGCTGTGAAGCTCAGCACTCAGCTCAAAGCTTTTAATTATGATAGTGGGAACCCTCTGTCCTAAAAATGCTCAAGAGAGGTCTTGTTAATGACAGCAATATCAAAGAAGATTTTGTGCTTACCAACTGGTTGGAGACATCTCCATGGTCTTTCCGTGTCATACCTTCTCCAATGGCAGACTTCATGAGACGGGATAGAGAAGGCAGGACGTTGATTGGAGGATAGATCTGGAAATTAATAAATTATTGTATAGTATGTGATGTTACCCATACCAAGTTAGGGTGCAATAATAAACGTGTAACCTGTTGAAACCGAATAGGTTTAAGAATGTATTCTGCTGTATACCACAATGTAACGAATGTGATAGAACCTATGTTAATTTCGCTAAACTCTGGTCCTGTACACTGTATTGTCTAGTTGCTATTTATGCCACGTGTTTAATCTGCTGTCTTATCTATGTATCATGTATAACTTATTATATCATAAATAAAGAAAACATTATACATGGAACAAAAAGTTAGGGTGCAGTAGTGAACCTGGTTCATGGGACAATCAATGAAACTATTAGGTAAAACATAAGTTTTGGGGATGATGGAAAGAAACAGAGGGTTACAGTATGGTGGTCCAAAGTTTATGTAAATAAACAGTGAATTCACAAAAAGAAAATCACTTTAAACTAGAGTAATACTATAATGTTGCTACTTTTTAAAGACTGCAGAATGTTTACAGCACAATTTACAATGATGGGCGTCATTACAGGACCGAGTTCACTACTACACACGGTATTGTAAAACCACGAGGCACAGCTTCGTAGCCTGTGCACTTTGTTTACAGTTAGATAGGATTAGTGTTATTTTAGGGTTAGGGAGGATTTATGTCAAAGTGTTAATTTCATCTAGGTAACGTTCTTCTAATCCTAAACACTAGGTTTGTGCACGGTGAGAAATGTTAGTTCTGTTGAGTCATATTTACACAGATGGAAAATGGTTTAGGGCACCCGAAATTCGACCGGATGTCAATATGGCTCAGCGAATGTTGACTCAGGAACCAAATCAGAAGACCAAGCCAAAAAAGCAAAAAAATGGACCAATCAGTGTACTGCAAAATATATACATAATAACCATCTGCAGCATTGTGCATTTCAGTTAGGCCGGAATTTGGGGTATATTTTGGGCAGTCCACATATATAACATGGCTGTGAAAAGGGCAGTCTTTGGATGCGGTGGAGAATGATTTTACATAAAATCAGGGCCCAGTACCTAAAGGCTTTAGGCAACAGATTCACTTTGGTGTGTTGTGGTTTTGTTGTTTAGAATACTGTAAAAAGAGTTGTTCTCTGCTAGTTATAGCCTCAATATATACAACAAACAGAAGCTCAAAGACTAGCTGACCAACCAAACACATGATCTGAGTGTGTATACTGGTCAACATGAGAACCTACTGACCTGTCTGTTATGGAGCTGCCGGTCTACATAAATTTGTCCTTCGGTAATGAAGCCAGTCAAGTCGGGAATGGGGTGAGTAATATCTGTAAGAAAAAAAATACATGTCGTTAGAAACAAAAGTATTAAACACTTGGGCTAAATCACAAGTATTAAAACAATTCTGTTTATATTTTCAGAATGTTGGAAAATTATGAAAATAGGTATTTATTGATGTAACCTTGTAAGAATTCCAAGTTGCGTCTGTCAGCGATGAGGTTGTTGTGACACTAGCTGCCAATAATACATTTAAATCTCTTCTATACTGATAAACATTATTTAAGTGCTGGAAATTACTTGAGCATAAATAAAATAAAAGTTATAAAAATAGCTTGCTGTATATTTGTGTTGTTTTTCAAAGAGAATAACTCACCATCATTGGGCATGGTTAGAATAGGGATCTGTGTGATGGATCCACTTCTACCTTCCACTCTCCCAGCTCGCTCGTAGATAGTGGCCAAGTCAGTATACATGTACCCAGGGAAACCCCGTCTGCCCGGGACTTCCTCTCGAGCCGCTGAAACCTATAAAGAGAATGGACATAATCCATTATGGAGAAAGACGTAACTAAGCAGAATTGTAAAAAGAAAATCTGCTATTTGGCTGGGTTGGATTTTTTTCCAATATAGGCAGTTTAACCAGGAAGAAATAATAATAAAAAATAATAATAAAAATTAAAAATCACATTTTTTACACAATTTTCTTTATTTCACTTGAAAGAGAATTGTCAAAAATCTTAGATTTGCTTCAAATATTTATTTTTAAATAAAACACTAGTAATCTAGGATAAAGTGTACACAAGTTTCCAGGAATATACTTTATTCTTTAATTTTAAAAGGGTGGGACAATTTGATGTTTGTATTTTTGCATTCAACTCTAACATACATAAAATATGGTTATATGAATAAATGTGCTATATTTGAAAGATATTTCCACTGCAATGGATAGGCTATATTATCCTCTAGCTCATCTTTCTGGAGGCCATCTAAGGCCTAATAAAGTTATCAACTGGTTTCAATTTTTAAGCACAATGTACAAGGTAAATTTTGACGGACCTTAAAGGACCACTCTAGGCACCCAGACCACTTCAGCTTAATGAAGTGGTCTGGGTGCCAGGTCAGAGAAACTGCTATGTGGTCTGGGTGCCAGGTCAGAGAAACTGCTATGTTTATGAATGGGTTAAGCCTTCCCCCAAAGCCTCTAGCGGCTGTCTCATTGATTTTCACAGTGAGAGCACGCTAGCGTCCATAGGAAAGCATTGATAATGCTTTCCTATGCGACCGGCTGAATGTGCGCGCAGCTCTTGCTGCGCGTGCGCATTCAGCCGACAGGGAGGAACGGAGGAGGATTGGAGGAGGAGAGCTCCCCGCCCAGTGCTGGAAAAAGGGAGGGGGTCCCTGAGGGTGGGGGCACCCTCAGGGCACTATAGTGCCAGGAAAACGAGTATGTCTTCCTGGCACTATAGTGGTCCTTTAAGCTGGACTTAAACAAGTTAGTCAGTAGGGATAGCCAGCTAACATTCTGATATTGCTTCCAGGAATAGAAGCTCACAATTTCAAATGACAATAACAGTACGTAACAATACGTTCTGAAAATGCTTACATACACATTATAATTCCTGTCAAAAAGCTAAAAATACCAGGTCTGTGGAACACGTTATTAAAGTGTAGGAAGATTTAAAGTGTATGCAAGATATTTGACTTTGTTCTAAAATATTTTGCATACCTCTGGTCTGGTTTGGTCAGTTTCACCAGAAATGCGAGTGAGTATGCAAGAACGTAAGCTATTCCACTCTTTTACAAAAAAAAACTAAACAAAGACAAGGAATAACCTAGATAGTGGTACAAACCAACATGGCTGGTGGTCTTGTCAAGATTTAGAACCCTTTTGGACAGCCATTCAGGCAGTTATTTCATCCATAATGAGTAACAACATTATAATTACAAATGTTCTTCTTCATTTGTCTTCTACCTCCGTTTCTTCTTCTAAAAAAAAATCTCCTTCAAGGTATAATTTTATTGCTGTTTCAGAGTCCACCCCTCTAACTAGAGAAGTGATTTAGCACCACATTTGTTGAAATGGATAAGCGGAGTGAAGGAATGCTGAATTCTCGAGCTTTAGAAAATTGCCCAATCATTGAAAGCGTTACATTGTAGTCTCTCTGGGGCAGGTTTTAAAATCTGAGTTTACGTCAACTTCTCTTTCATTTCATCTCAAGGAAGTCAGTAAGCTTCTAGGTAAGAGGTTACTGACTTAATGGGTTATTAAACTAAGGTGACAATTAAGTGAATTTCCCATTTAATGCCAGGATAGCGGAACTGAAAGTATAGATTAGACAGTTTTTCCAGTTTTGCTATTTTAACCAAAAATATGAATTTCAATTCACTTTGAATTTTCACTTTAGTGAATAGCTCTGGATGTTTTTTATTTTTGTAATTCATTTGCACAAACTTTGTATAGTTCGCGTTTGTTCTTTTTTTTCAGTATAAACGTTAGGATACATATTTCTATTTTTTTCTTTTCTATTTTTTTTTGTCTTTTCTAATTATGCATGTGTTAAATTGAAAACTAAAATAAACAAATTAAAACCAAAATAAATAAATAAAGGAAAAATATTCTATTATCAAAGTCCTAAAAGGGTCACTTAGGGCTTTAGCTCTCCAAGATATTATTTACCTCACGTAGAGCCTCAGCGTAGGAGCTCATGTCAGTCAGGATGACCAACACATGCTTCTCACATTGATATGCCAAGTATTCTGCTTCAGTCAGAGCAAGCCGGGGGGTGATGATCCTTTCAATTCTGTAAGAAAAAAATATATTCCATGAAGGCATTTATTCTATGATATAATACACAGTGTCAGGCTGAAGCATAAAAAGCCAGCAGTTATTGTGCACAGTTACAATGACCCATTGGCGGCTGGTGAATAGTCGAATGGCGCACCTCCTCTCTAATACTTACGTTGGATCGTTAGCAAGATTCAGGAAGAGGCAAACATTGTCCATTGACCCATTCTCTTCAAAGTCTGACTTGAAGAATCGAGCAGTCTCCATGTTCACCTATTGGCATGGAATATGAAAAGAGATTCAGGTCTGGTGAAGGGATAACTTATGAAGATGATACTGAGGGTTAAGGGGAACTTGAAGTTTAGAAGGTACTTGGAGTTAGGTGATATTTAAGAGTAGGTGTTAGCATTTTATTCAACTTTAGTTTACAAAGCACCAGCCTGCTTAAAAGGGAACTGATATTAGCTCTATCAGGGTTATTCACTAAAATCTTAATGGCCCGAATGGAGCAAAGCCACCCAGCTGCATACGGACCATTTGGACAGAATTCATCAATGTCCAAATCTTGTAATTCAGGTCCTGAATGGGCCTGAATTTGGCCCGGATTTCAGACGAGATGAACTCCACCGGACGACTGAAATCAGGGACGAATGTGGCAAATCCAGGCTCAAAAAATAAAACTTCAACCCGGATTTTAAAAAAAAATCTGAACCGTCTGCACGATGGCTGCGCTAGCAACCTGTGGGCAAATATTTAAAAACCCTTGGAGGCTTGAAGGTTAATTATGCGACGGCTGGGCAGAGCTTGCTACTCAGCTGCCACATGAAAAAAGTAAATAAATAAATAAGAATTAATTAGGGCCTTCATATGTTGGCATATGTAAGGGATTTCATCCTCTTATTCTATAGTCATGGGAAAAAGAAAGTACACCCTCTGATAACAATAATTTGTTCCTTAGCAGTTCTTCAAATTAAGTCGTAATTCGATCATTTTTATCGGATTTTGTTGATTCGGATAATACAGATTTAGTACAGAGAAGAGGAGAAATTAAACAATGTTTCAAAGTTTGCCATGACGTTGCCTTATCTGAACCAGATAGTGGTATTTGTTAATTTTTATTATAAATTGAAAGCAAAACAGAGAATGAAAAAGGTTATAGGTGATACGTTATGTTTTGTTCGATAGTGTAAACTCCAGAGGAGGAACAGATCTCCGTTAACACTAGTGAGTTAATGTGAATAGTAGTCATATTTAGAACAATTGGTTCCTGCGTTTGACGAAGCTTGAATTAAATTATAATGTTTAATGATTAATTTAGTAAACAAGATTTCAACTGACTTAGACAAAAAACAGAAAAAGTAGGTAAAAAAATTTAACTTTACATAGACAGATATTTGCTTAAAGGACCATTATAGGCACCCAGACCACTTCAGCTCAATTAAGCTGTCAGGGTGCCAGGTCCCCATAGTTTTAAAAACATAACAGTTATGTTTACATTGAGGGTTAATCCAACCTCTAGTGTCTGTCTCCCTGACAGCCACTATAGGCGCTTCCACGATGCTCAGTGTGAAAATCGCATTGAACACAGTGTGAGTTCAGATCCCCATAGGAAAGCATTGAGTATTGCTTTTCTATGGGCGATGTGAATGCGCATTCGGCTCCACTCGGGAGCTGATTTCGGCGGGGAAGAAGAGGTCACCAGCTCCGAGGGAGCCCGGTTCTGGATTAAGGTAAGTGGCTGAAGGGGTTTTAACCCCTTCAGCCCTGAGGGACGGGGGGGGGAGGACGTCTACAAACCCTATCAAATATCTGCAATAATGAACTGTTTACATTGCCAGAATTATCACAATACTATTAATAATAAATCATGTTGAGCTACAACACCCAAGAAGGACAGGCTTTCTTGACTTACACCCATGGCAGCAAAAACAATGGCAAAGTTGTCGTCGTGATAATCCATTACATCCTTGGACTTCTTCACCAATCCAGCTTGTCTACAGATCTGGGCTGCAATCTGAGCAGATACAACACATTAACCATCAGTTCTCCTAACTTGATATAACAAAACAAACCTTGATAAATACATTGGGGGTCATCTCCAGCATTGTTTTAGTTTAGCACTATATCTGTGGCCATTGCTAAGCTACTGCCCACTACCAAAAATAATAATTCCTACTTGTTATACCAGTAGGAGACTGGTAACATTGAGTTGGGCAGACTAGGCACTATCATAGGATCAATGAGAAAATGATTAGCTCTGTCCTTCCAATCTTTAAAAAAAATAGTACGATGATAACTAAAAATAATGGAGCAAAAAAACTTACCGGATGCACACAAGAAGAAAAATGGTGTCCTCCACAATGGCACTCTGCGTCTTTGGCTGAAATCATCAGTGTAGATGCTGCATGTCAAACATGCAGCCCGTGTGCCGCATGCAGCCCACAATGAGTATCTTTGCAGCCCAAAATGGCCTACCGTGATACAGGGAAATCTCCCAGTAGGCCGCCTGCCCTGGGGATGCTTTGGGCTGTGGCCCTCCGGCACCAAAGTATTCTTCCACGCTGGCCACCAGATATGTGCATACAGCATATGGAGTCATATCCAGTGGCTGTGCGGCAACACTACAGTGTGCAGAGCAGGCCAGCTACTCCCCCTCCCCTGCTGCTTACAGTGCCAGAGGAACGTGTGGCCTGCTTGAACAGAGAATTTTGTGCAGGGCTGGACTGGTAGAAGGTTTAAGGTTGGGGAAGAGAGGCTTTGGGGAACCTTCCTGTAGTGTAGTGTATTAAATTGAGGGGAGTAATGTATTAGACTGGAGGGTGGGGGGCACTGTATTATTAAATTGGAGTGGAGGGGCACTGTATTATTAAATTAGAGTGGAGCGAGGGGGAGCAGTGTGTTATATTGGGGGAGCGGGGGCCATGGGAGGCTGTGCATTAGGATGGGGGGCATAGTAAGTAACTGGAAATTAAGCTTTTCAGTAAATTATATATATACTCAGGATTACATATCGTTTGCTTGAGAATGATACAAGTAATTTTAGTTTGTGTTGGTCTAGGTTGAACTCTCATTTGCAGCCCACATAAGCTTAAACCTTTTTTGACATGCTTGGTGTAGATGATCTGAGCCAATCCAATGTTTCCCCATAGGGACACATTGGGAGGCTAGTGTACAAGTTTGGAACATTCCCACTCTACGCCAATCACTTGGTGTCTACGAGACCATCTGATTAAAATAGCTGAGTTTCATTGGCTATGTGGGCGGTAGCGCCTCTAGTGGCTGTCAGTATGACAGAACGGCAATGTTTTGCATTGCAAGGTAAAAAAAAGAAAACTGCAGGGACAACATTGGCAGCCAGACCACTTCATTGAGATACAGATTAGGGAACAGCGCACGCAAAGAAAAATACAGCTTTATATTTTACAAGGCTACATAAAATCAGCTAAATATGGGGATTCAGTTCCACCACACGGCCAACTTGGGGGTCAGGCCAACTCCTTGGTTTTGCATCCCTCCCTGCCACAGTTGCCTCATCCCAGAGCCCTGTTTAGCCTTGTACTGTAGAGAGCCCTAGATGGAATTTCCCCCCAAGGTTTGTCTCATAATAGCAGACATTAGGCTGTCAGAGTAGAACCTGCCAAAGATGGGGTACATTGACGTTGTGGCAGGCTTATGCAATGTATGATCATATAATGTAACTAAATCCCCATTATTTTTGCCTAGATTAGGTGTTTTTAAAAAAAAATCTAAAAAAAAAAAAACCTAATAAAATCTGTAAGCTTTGAAGTTGCTATTTAGTGGATGAGTGAGTGCGTTGGATCTTGTGCACCCCATTCATGAATGTTCAAGTGAGCGTTTCCCCCTGGTTTCTTAAGGTATTTTTAGAAAGAAAGAAAAAAACACTTTAGACACAACAGGGTAATCCCTAAATCCTGGACTGTTCGGGGGTACTTGAGGACTGGATTGGAAACCCCTGATCTAGAAACAACTATCTTGTACCAAAGATAAAACACAAAAGATCAACTACCAAGATGGTTTATCCATATGATGTTAATCTGCAGCTAATTCGGTATAGCAGTAAGGAGTACTCTTACTTCATTGTGGGGCAGTCCCGCAGCTGAAAAAATGGGAATTTTCTGTCCCCTGGCAATGCTGTTCATTACATCTATAGGAGAGATCCCAGTCTGGATCATTTCTTCGGGGTAGGTTCGACCGTACGGGTTAATAGGTTGACCTGTAATAGCATGTAACAAACTAATATAAATCATAGTGTATAACACACATTTAATGACACGTACAATTTATGTATCCACGGACGGAATTGTAAAACATATCAATAAAATACACTGCTCTATATTGCTTAATCCTCATACCTTAATCATTGTGATGTACAATGTTTGAGCTCTCGTGCGATAGGCAGGGCCATATTTATATCTTAGGGGTCCGTATACCGCAAGTATACAGCCCACATCATCCTCACCTCACACTGTGACACAGATACAAACACAAACAATATTTGCACACAAAAAGCACTAACATTCCAACACTGAATTTAGGCAGCGTGCCTGCGCAATCTTCGAGCACTGTAACCCACTATCTCAGCAAGCACCATGGTCCGAGACGAACTAAAACAACGGGCGCCTGGAGATGGAGGATACAACAATATCTCAAAAGGGCTGAGCGCAACAAGAATATTTTCTCTATAAGGATACAAAAAAATCTCATAAAACCAGAAAAACACCGACACCTCAGCATGTATCTAGTTTTTTTCAATGCAATTTTTTTTTAAAAGCCTTTTAAAGATGATTTACTTGTTGCAAGCAAAGGTGTAGACTAGAGATATTGTTGCTGGTTTGTTGTCAAACTTCCTCCAACTCCAGCCCTCTGCTACTATACAAAGCACACACCCTGAAAGGTAAACAACAATGTAAAATAAAGATCTTTGCAGTTAGAGGAAAACACCGTAAGCACTTTAGCTTTATCTGAGAGGAATGTGTCCTTTTATTTTCATTTTACAAAAAGTATAACTTTCAATACACCTTGATACTTTTATAAATAAACCTTGTTACATCCCTCCCCCGCTGTCAGACAACTGGTCATGTTACCTCCTGGTTTGATTAGCTCAGTGGAGCTGAACTCAAGAGGCAGCATTTGCCCAGAGCACTTGCCTTACAAAGACTTCTCATTGAGCTGCATTGGGAAGTCTGTGATTGGACAGCGACATAAATTCTGGGCGTGGTTAGAAGGGGAGGGCTTGTAAAGGCAGCAGACAAGAGATCTGCAGCTTTTGCAAACTGTTTTTAGTTTTAATTGGGGCTATATCTGCTAAATAGTGATTCGTGTATTTGTTTATTTGTATTTGGGAGTGTTCCTTGTGTTTGTGTAGAAAGCATACAGGGTATACACAAAAACAGACTGAACAAAGCCCACCCTGGGAGAAGTGTGAATTGTATCCAAAGGTGAATTTAATATTATGAAGCTGCTTCTCTGGTATGCCCGACTTGCTGTCCAGGTGAATGTCTGATTTATACAGACAACGGCAAACTTACCATTGATGTCGAGAAAGTCTTCAGCCATCACTGAAGGGCCTCGGTCAATAGGTTTCCCAGAGCCATTAAAGACACGTCCTGAAATGGAGTAGGGTGAAATGTTTAGGATTAAAGAGAAATAACAGAGACTTGGTTTTTATATGGAATACAGCAATCCTTGGCATTGAAAAATAAATCCCTTCATCAATTAATAATCATTTTATATTGATAACATGGACTCCCGGAGTAATGTGTACTTTGGATTTTAAACATTTAACATTAAGTTTCAATAAAGACTACCCAAGCAGCAATCACAATGGAACGGCCCACTATTTGCCATCACTAATCAAGTCTTTATCCAAAAATCTACTTCTAAGGTTCTTTCTAATGGTGTGTTACTAGTAATTCCAACCTTAAAGGAAAACTTCAGTGCCAGGAAAAAAAATCAGTTTTCCTGGCACTGCGGGTACCCTCTCCCTCGTCCCATCCCAGGTAGCTAAAGGGGTGAAAACCCCTTCAGGTCACTTACCTGAGACCCCACTGATCTCCCTCGGCGGTGGTTTCGGGTCGGCGTCGCTCCTCCCAGTAATCATGTCAGCCGCATGCGCATTAGGTCTCCCCATAGGAAAGCATTGAAAAAGATTTTCAATGTTTTCCTATGGGGAATTGAGCGATGCTGGAGGTCCTCACACAGCGTGAGGACATCCAGCGACGCTCTAGCAAATAAAATCTTTGCTATGAATCAGGAAGTGCCCTCTAGTGGCTATCTAGTAGACAGCCACTAGAGGTGGAGCTAACCCTGCAATGTAATTATTGCTGTTTATAAAAAAACTGCAATAATTACAGTTGCAGGGTTAAGAGCAGTGGGAGTTGGCACCCAGACCACTCCAATGGGCAGAAGTGGTCTGGGTGCCTGGAGTGTCCCTTTAACATTAAACATTTGTAAGACATTTGTAAGACCAGCAAATGCCTAACACATTGCTTAAAATGTGAAGTCCTACACTACTCGCTGTCCCTTAAAATATACTAGCCAATGCAAGTCTAGAGAGTCGACACCACACTCAGCAGGAGTGATTATCTACTTTCCACGGCCACATTTTGAGCCACCAATGGCTGTTGGTGTCAAGTGGAAATGTTGAGCCTTACAGCTACGGTGTTATTGCATTGTAGCCAAGTCTCAGTGCATTTTATAGAGCCCAATCAGGGTTGCCATTTAGTAAATAGCTCAGTTATACCTATAGCCTACAGAATTAACAAACATATACACATGTAGCAACATTTCCATAAATTGTCAAAATACCATCACTAACATCTACAGAATTACAACCATAACAAATATATACTATATATACATACTATAGGAATCTAATACCATCAAACGGTTCTGGAGACATTATAACATTGAAAACGTTTAATGAATGCCTCCAAAAGACCTGGATTGAATTATTTTTCCTTAATACTTGCTTTGCCATGGTGTTGGTTTTATATTACACAATAGAATAGGTTCAATGATTGGGTATCTTTAATTTTGGGCAGCATTAGGTTATACACATGTTCCAGTCTGCCTGAGATTGGCAGGATTTGAAGAAAAAAAAACACACACACACACAGACACACACACAGACACACACACACAGACACACAGACACACACTATGTTTCTAAGGAGTGTCAGTTAGAATAGATGCTTAAAGTGAAAGTAAGTGATATGCAGCTTTAACATGAGTAAGATTTGCCCTATATTCAGTGGGTCAACATGTGGTGAACTGTAAAATCCAAACTTCAGTACAAGCAGTTGATGTATTAAAAACATCGCCGTCTGGTTTCCCTCAGCCATTCTGTTTGTGTGTTGGTTTAATTAGCGTAAAAACGTCCATTTTGCTGCTGCTGTGACCAATGTCTTACTAAAACATCAACTAGGTGTACATTTACCAAGTGTTGCCATCCCTTGCTGCCTTCCCTTGGCCGCCTGTCCTGAGTCTATCCAACCGTGGAGTTACGCTATGGTCAGATTCTACAGCTTTGAGACTATAAGGATCATTTTTGAATGTCACAGCACATAATATTCCCCATTATTTTGAAAAGGAGATGCAATGACCATGAAAGGTCAGTAACCTTAGGGGACATTTTCTTGTGCTTTTTTCTTTTTCTTGTGGCTCTGTGTTACGTATCATTGAGGCAGATAAAATTGGAAAACAAAATAACAATATGAAAGCAAGAAATATGAACAAACTTGCCCCGGGCTCTGTAAGCTCCAAGGAGTCCTTTTTTGTCCAGAGTTTTGAGATGGACTGTCAGTGTCTAGTGTCTAAGGTGCTGAATCTTCTGGTCAAAAACTAATGCCCAGTGTATAAAAAAATGTTCTGTATTTTAAAGGACAAAGTACCGGTACTTAAAAAAACAAACCCACTTTAACAACTTTAAATGCTTTACACAGGTATGGATATCTGGACTCTTAGGTAGTCTTTTAATCTTAAGGTTCAACATACAGAGAGGGGCCACTAATATTTGGACAGCTTGATGAAAACTCTGGTGACCTAATGCTAAACCTGTATGAAATAAAATAGTCAATTTCAGTGTTTGCTGAGTATTCAAAAGCGCTAATTAATTGAATTGTCAATGTCTTCCATAAAGAACTGGCTCAGCTTTTGACACGTTTGGGAATCTTGGATCCGTACCTTGTACTGAAATTTAGTTGCTGCTGACAGTGGGATTTTAATTGATCCTATTTGCAATGAAGACCTCTGAGATCAGCTGTGGAATCTAAGATGAACCCAGGTTTCAGTCAATAATGAACTTAAAGGAACACTATGGCGTTAGGAATACAAACCTGTATTCTTAAAGTAAAAGTGTCCCTGTCCCTAGTGATGTTCAGCATATAAAGGGTTTTAAAAAAAACCTCCAGCGACGTCATGGAGCAAGCATGGCCTCCCCTGCCAATAGTCCAACCCAATGATCCTCATCGTTTTATTACGCTAAAATCCAGGAAGCACTATCTAGGGGCTGTCCGACAGACTGCCACTAAATGTTGGGATTCGACCAGAAAAATAATTGCGGTTTCAATTAAAATGTTTTTCTTCACAGGGCTAACATGACAGGCGCAAGGCAACCTGGTGACTTCATTAAGATGAAGTGGTCTTGGTGCCTTTAGTGTCCCTTTAATGGCTACTAGATGATTATTTGATGGGTAGTATTTTTAATGATTTATCCTATAGTGATTTTAATGCAGCCCATGATTCTGGGTAAATTCTGAAATTTAAAATACAAATAAAGCTATAATTATATATTAACGTGGCAGTACTCGGTATACTAGACATAATGGGTTAATCGCCAATGCGAAAATTCGAAGCATTCACCCAGTGAATTTAAAGTGAATTTCATATTTAAGTAAAAAATAGACAAATTGGAAAAATTCTCTAATTCAGCTTTTTCAGTAACTCTAAAATTATAAATAACCCAGCTAGGTTACAATTGAATAAAGATATAAGGATGCTTTAGGCCTAGCGTCAGGTGCCTTAATTGTAACAGACCGTGTGCACGGTCATGCAGTGTCTCTTATTATACTCTGTTGGGTGTTAGCCTCATATCTATTTAGGAACAAGATAGTACTTTCTAACGTTGATTTTTCAAACAATCAGCTTTTTTTTTTTATTTGTGTTGGATTAGTTAATTATGTGTAGTATTTAAACAGTAAAATGGTGGATTTTCGCAGAACTTAAATAACTGGAAATGTCATTTTGGGGGGGGAGGTGGTGGCGGGGAAACAAATTGTTTGAAGTGGTATCATTTTGAATATAAATATGAATGCGTAGTCAGTAAAATGAACATCTCATCTAGACTTTTTCACAGCAACATTTTTTTATTTGAGATGTAACATTAATCCCTCATTCACCATAGATGGGGTAAAGAAAAAAGGCTCACATTTGGTATTATTAATGCCTCTACACAACACACATGGTGAGGGACAAGGCCCACACTCACTAATATCCACCTTTATCACTCTATCCACCTTATATTGAATACTATTAACCCACTATGGTGAATGAATCCCTCAGTGCTGTAAAGTCTGATATCTGTGCAATTAAATAGTAATTAGATGGTGGTTAATAATAAATAATCAGGCCGAATAAATTGCTTTATCACTGTCTGTGTGTGTCTATGTGAATTTTTGTAGATTAATCATTTGGAAGGTTTTTGTAACAGTATTGAATCATTTGAAAAGCTTACTAAATCAAGGACTATGTAACTAAATTTTTCACTCTAAGAAGGAGACCAGTTATAAAAGTGTCAGTATTTTTACGTGACGTTTCATAGGAGTACGAGATCACAAATGTTTCTTCTTCAGGCTTATCACATAGGGAAAACAGTTCCCGGTTGAGTACACTAGGTGGCAATATTGAGAGGGAAACGCCAATACAGAACTGCATGCTTTGTGTTCTAAGTGCATTGCCATGCACACACCAAGCATGAGACTTGCCAATCCTGTCCCTTCCCCCATAACAGTACGTACCCAGAGAAGTCATTTTTACCCAGTACATGTATGTATCAGCAGATGACGCTGTTGCAATCCATCACATAACATCTAGAATCCAATCTATTGAGCCACCAACTAAGCTGCCTTATCCTTATTATGACATGCATTAGGTTGAAAAAACCCCATATAGAATCTTACAGAATGCTGCGATAACATTTCTGGTATTTTATCATTAGTGTTAATCGAACTTGGTTTATTCTCTATTTTTAAACTGTTTGTTGTTAGTCAGTAAACACGGTAAAAGATTATTTCATGAGTCAGTGATTGTGACATTACGGGGGCAGGCAGGGAACGTTATAACATAATATCTTCTTATATAAAATGTTATAATATGGTCTTCAAAGCAATGATTAAATGAGGATAAATGATGGGCACGGACAATTATTTGGGGGGTGGTACAACGTTACTCTGCATAAATTCTTTGAAAATTATTCAGGTAAACAGTCTTCAGTGGGAGATAATCACCCCATCTATCCTGTCCAATATGGCATCTCCGACTGGTTCCTCAGAATAATTTTGCCCACATCACAAGTATTCTCTGTTTTATTACTTTATAAGGATGTAGGAAGGCTATACCAGGTATTTAACAGGTATCTACCCCTTTTATTACTGCCATTCTCTACTGCTTCCACCCAAAGGCTAATTCATAAACCTACACCCTTTCTATATCAACATTAGTCTTTACTGCCCCTACTGGAGGGCTATGCTGTATATCTACTACCCTTTCCATATCAATGTATTTACTGCCCCTACTGGAGGGCTATGCCGTATATCTACTACCCTTTCCATATCGATGTATTTACTGCCCCTACTGGAGGCCTATGCCATATATCTACTACCCTTTCCATATCGATGTATTTACTGCCCCTACTGGAGGGCTATGCCGTATATCTACTACCCTTTCCATATCAATGTATTTACTGCCCCTACTGGAGGGCTATGCCGTATATCTACTACCCTTTCTATATCAATGTATTTTCTGCCCTTACTGGAGGGCTATGCCGTATATCTACTACCCTTTCCATATCGATGTATTTACTGCCCCTACTGGAGGCCTATGCCATATATCTGCTACCCTTTCCATATCGATGTATTTACTGCCTCTACTGGAGGGCTATGCCGTATATCTAATACCCTTTCCATATCGATGTATTTACTGCCCCTACTGGAGGGCTATGCCGTATATCTACTACCCTTTCCATATCGATGTATTTACTGCCCCTACTGGAGGGCTATGCCGTATATCTACTACCCTTTCCATATCGATGTATTTACTGCCCCTACTGGAGGGATATGCCGTATATCTACTACCCTTTGTATTTACTGCCCCTACTGGAGGGCTATGCCGTATATCTACTACCCTTTCCATATCGATGTATTTACTGCCCCTACTGGAGGCCTATGCCGTATATCTACTACCCTTTCCATATCGATGTATTTACTGCCCCTACTGGAGGCCTATGCCGTATATCTACTACCCTTTCCATATCGATGTATTTACTGCCCCTACTGGAGGGCTATGCCGTATATCTACTACCCTTTCCATATCGATGTATTTACTGCCCCTACTGGAGAGCTATATTGTATATCTACTACCCTTTCCATATCGATGTATTTACTGCCTCTACTGGAGGCCTATGCCGTATATCTACTACCCTTTCCATATCGATGTATTTACTGCCTCTACTGGAGGGCTATGCCGTATATCTACTACCCTTTACATATCAATGTATTTACTGCCCCTACTGGAGGGCTATGCCGTATATCTACTACCCTTTCCATATCGATGTATTTACTGCCCCTACTGGAGAGCTATATCGTATATCTACTACCCTTTCCATATCAATGTATTTACTGCCCCTACTGGAGGGCTATGCCGTATATCTACTACCCTTTCCATATCGATGTATTTACTGCCTCTACTGGAGGGCTATGCCGTATATCTACTACCCTTTCCATATCGATGTATTTACTGCCTCTACTGGAGGGCTATGCCGTATATCTACTTCCCTTTCCATATCGATGTATTTACTGCCCCTACTGGAGGGCTATGCCGTATATCTACTACCCTTTCCATATCAATGTATTTACTGCCCCTACTGAAGGCCTATGCCGTATATCTACTACCCTTTCCATATCGATGTATTTACTGCCCCTACTGAAGGTCTACTACCCTTATATATACTACTATGGCCCATAATTTTAAATTCTCTTACAATTCTCACTGTAGTAAATAAAGCACAGGGCTGCAGAATTGGGCTGAAAGTTTGAAAACTGACAATGCTTTTTGTGGGTATTTGCATATTTCTGCATTGCATTCTGGGAGTTTTGGGTGCTGCTGTGCATGGGGCATGGTTTCTGAAAGTTTCCTTATGTTGTTTTGATTTTATTTGTATGAGATATTAACCAGACTGTGATTAGTCACTGTATCTGCCCGAGTCTACAAAATAATTTTGAGTATAGTTGGCCGTGAAAAGGTTGGTAATTTTGTCACCCCAGTATTCGGATCTGCTAAATAAGCAGAGCTGCCGCAGCCTGTCTAAACCCCCTCCCTAGTCGCATTTCTTAGTTTTATCTTGAAATACAGCCTCTCATTGACAAATACGATGAATGACTGAGCCGACCTGCCAAGAACCTGCAACGGTTTTTATGTAGGCTAAGAAATAATAGGAAAAAAAAAAAAACCTGCTCTCATTAAGCTCCTACGTTTCAAAATCTCCAACCTAATTAACAGCCTCCCACCGTCTTATAATTCACTTTATTTAAAGACGCTATTAGTGTTCGACAAAGGAATTTACAAATAGGAAATCAATGAGTTATTTTTTTATTGCAATGTTTTCTTCAAATGTTGTGAAACTAATTAAGGAGTGAGGGGGAGGGGGGGCATGTTCCCTATTAAAGCATCAACACTGTTATTTATTATTGGGGATTATCTAACATGAATAAAGCCCCATTCTCTGGACACCATTAGAACATCCCATTAACAATCTGCAGATCTAAGCTTTAGGCAGATATTTCATCCAAACTTTGTACAATGATTGAGTGCGAGTGTTGACTGAAACATTGTATCTTCAGTGGTTAAATGATCACATCCTGATGTCATGCACAAAATTAAGTCGTCTTCTGTGGTTACTTGACTCATTGTTGGGAGGTATGAGTTCTAGGTCCAGGATTTGTCAGTATTACAAGTAGAACAGAACTAAGAATTTACTAAATCCTGGATTGTTAGTGTTTATTGCTCTAAGAACGTCTAAGGACGTGATCTGGTGTTTAGCACTCTGAACGGAATACTTACCTATTTAAAGTGGCTCTGTCACTTCTGAGAATAATGATTTTTCTGAAATACTTATATTGACTATATTGGAATTTCAATTAAAAAAAATCATAAGATAAAATAGGGTCTACTTTGTCATGTGAGTAAGCCTGAGGTTGACAAAATGTGACAAAAAGTGGAACTTCTGCATCAAGGTTTGTCAGTTCCCAAAGCGGTCGCTACTGAAATCTTCTCATACATTGTGTATGTAGATTTATGGAGGATCTCTCAGTCTAAACATGCACGAGAGTATGGCATGGGCACAGCTCCTGGCAAATGACGTGATGGCTGACACAAGAAAGATACTTTGGTGGAACCCTTTGACCTAGTGTATCAACATCGTGGACCTCCCCCCCAGTAAAAAAATAAAAATAAATACAATTTTCACCATTTTTTTGTATGTGCCGGTGAGTTTCTGTGTGTCAAGGTGTGTGTATCTGTGTTTGTATGTGCCAGTGTGCATGTATATATATGTATCTGTGTGTCAAGGTGTGTGTAGTTGTGTGTCAAAGTGTGTGTATCTTTGTTTGTATGTGCAGGTGTGCATCTGTGTATCAAGGTGTGTGTATCTGTGTTTGTATGTGCCGGTGTTTGTATCTGTGTTTATATGTGCCAGTGTGTGTTTGTTTTAGTGGCACACATACACAGATACACATACACACACTCAGATGCACACAGTGACACACACACACACACATCTTGACTCACAAATACACACACACACTGAGATACTCACATTGACACATACACAAACACAAACCTCGATACACACACTGATACACACTCAGACACACATACTCTTTGACAGACACACATACAAACACATATACACTCTCACTGACAAGTACACATACATTCTCACTGACAAACACACATACACTCTTTGACAGACACACAAACACATACAAATTCCCTAACAGACACAAACAATGTATTATTCTTCAAAAATTTTACTCCACCCAGCCTCCCTACCTTTGGGAATGCTGGCATGGAGTCTCTATGTCCCTGTGGTCCAGTGGGGCTGCTGGGCTGGGCATGCAGTCCCTGGGGTCCAGTGGGGCTGCTGAGTGGCTGGTGTGCGGATGTACAGTGCGGGCGGCGAGGGAGCACTGATCTTCTTGCTCAGCTCCCTCGCGCGCCTCTTAGTGATGCCGGAGTGATGTCATGTTCAAACTCCGGCATCACTGCTGTGAGCACGAGAAAGCTGAGCAGGGGAGAGTGCTCTCTTGCCACCCACGGCCGTTTTGTTTCCTGAAATTTTGGCGGAACCTCATTTGTGTTCTCTCCGCGGAACACCAATTGGGAAATGCTGACTTAGAGTGTATAGACACGAATTAGCAGATAGAACTTTGCAGAACAAGAGTAACAATCAGGATACATTTTAGTATGTGCGAGTGTGTTATGTCAACGTTTAGTCTTGTGGTTTATGATATCTGCATCCCTTTGTTATTTGCGTATAACATGCAATTCCCTTTTACAGGTTCTCACTACCTCTCTGTCTCCAAAACCAAAACACTCTAAAATTACTCTGGGACACAATTTAAACAACTAAATATTTGGTTCAAAAACAATAAAAAAAATACATATATATATATATAAACAACAAAAAGAGTAAAAAATAAAATAAAAGGTTTCAATTTACCTCTTTTGTCTCGCAGAGGCCAAGTTCTGTCATAGCTCAATCTTCCTTGTCTGACATCACTATGTTTTGTCGGAGGGGAGGGTTATGAGGGAGAACAGATACTAATCTTGCACAGAATTGACATTAGCCAACCTGGAATTTGGTTCTGGGCTATCTAATGATGCTCCCGCAGGTGAAGTTACACCTCTGATAGGGAAGGGGTTAATCTTTGTATGTGCAGGATTTCAAAGCAAAACATCGCACATACAGACTGCAGGCACCATCACCACTTCAAATCACTTATCATGGAGTAATTCTTTAAGAGAATTGAGAAAACCCTCCATTATAGGTGCATCATGTGGAGACTCTCCCACCTACAGAAAGCTGTGTGTTCCACCTATTCATGACGTTTTAAGTGTTCTGTTACATATACACATACACTTATACACATTAAGATGAATAAGAAAACCCTCCATACAGGTAGATCCTGTATAGACACTCACACCTACACAGAGCAATGCGTTCTACCCTTTCATTCCATTCTAAGTGCTCTGTTACTTTAGATCCGAAGATTAACCTCTCACTGTTTGTTAATGGCCAGTACATTAACTTTGTGCTCCCCTCCCTCCCAAATTCCCTGCCCTCCCAGCATCCCACATACCCAGCATGTCTTCTGAAACAGGTGTCCTGAGGATGTCTCCCGTGAACTCACAAGTTGTTTTCTTGGCATCAATCCCAGATGTGCCTTCAAACACCTGCGGAGAACCGGGGCAAGAACCCAATTACTAGCAATTAGTGAGGATTAGAGCAGACACGGCAGGAGAAAGTCACATCCAAATGAATGCAAAGGGATAATGTGCAGGGAGTTAAAGGGGGAGGCTTGCTTTTACATGCTGGACCCCTTAGACGCGGTGGAGGCTTTTGAACTCTTAACAAGCAGGGGCAGATGATTTCTAGCAGTGAAAGTGTTAGATTGGTTTTCAACGGATGAGAGTTTTACACTGTTGTGTCTGTGAACCCTTTCGTTGCTGTGAAATGGACAGAGCTCAGAATTGAGCAAAAAAAGGTCAAACTGACCCGTAACTGCTGGAAGGATGAAAATAATGCACGTCTTAAGGGAGTATTCACGAATTAGTGAATTGCTGCAACTTGCAAAAATCTACACCAAAAAAAAGGCATTGGAATTTTTTTTGTGTTTTGGTCCAGGTTTCGCAATTGTCTATGGTTTTAATGTATACATTTGAAATGGGATAAATAAAAAAATTAATTGCAAATAATAATTAAAAAAAATTAAAAAAACAACTGATGATAGACGTGAATTATTTTGCTAAAATAAAGGGAGAATTCGAAGTGGATTTCAAAGGTCAGGAAGCAGAACTGAAAGAAAAGTTGATCTAGATTCGAGATAATTTTTCCAGTTCAGCTATTTTGATCTTAAAGTTAAAATTCACTTTCGGTTCATTTTTAATTCTCACTTTAGTGAATAACTCTGAAAGTGCGATTTATTGCTTGTGAACTGCTGGAACTGAAAACATGGCTGACTTTGAAAGTTTCCCAGTTTCAGCAACTTTGGGATAAAAATGTGAAGCTCACTTCAATTTCTAACCAGTTCGCACTGTAACTAATAAACCTGGCATACATGACGTGTTGAATTCAGTGATTTGTATCGTTTAGAATGTTGGCCCATCTCTGGTTAATCCAATCACTGAATACACAGCCAAGGTGCTTGCATTGTTTGTATGCGTTGCGTTGCATCCACCTGGCTCTGTCTCTCAAGTTGTTAACACTCCAGTTAGGCAACAATGTCCCTTATTACCTAATGCAAATAATGAACCTTCCACAGCAGATTATGCAAAGGCTGAGAGTTTAGGCCACAAATTGTGGGTCCAGCTTCCGTTCTGCTGTTGCAGGTTCATTATCGCTACATTTCTTATGTCAATCTAATGTCACCAATGTGTCCCTGGAATTGTTTTTCAAATCTTGCCAACTATGTAGGACTCCATCTTGTTTGTGATAGCTCTTGGTCTGTCTAAGAACAAACGTTAAGAGACACATAGGCAAAATGTAAACAGAGACAGAATCAGAGCAAGCAGGAACAAACGGGTAAAACTGATAACAAAAATATTGAGGCTCTCGTTACACAAAACACAAATTGGGAAATGGATCCACAGACATTCTGAGACACACACACACAAATATATAACTCAGATAAGTAAAACTACTATATATGTGTGATAAATGAAACAATCGTAAGACCTGGTGTAAATGTGCCAATATATTGTATGTGAAAATCCATGGGATTTACCCGTTTTGAATGGTTCCCATTTTCAGTGGATTGTAAGATTAGTAAATAATCAAAAAAGCTATTTGAAAACAATAGCTTGGATTTTAGAAACCATTGCTTACACATTCCAGGGATTGTGTTGAGGTCATCCGAGAACTGTTATTACCTAGTAAAAAGAATCCAGAGTATTTAACTACAGATTGGAGTCCCCATTGATGTCCATAAGGATTTAACAAATCCAGGTGAATACCCAGACTTGTTTTTGCTTAAGGTGGTTTTAGTTATCCTCTGGCATTCCAGTCCTTCTGGCTACATGGTTAGGCTAGCTGAGCATTATGGTAAGTGTAGTTTAAAACAACTACAGTGCCATATGCAAACTTTTACTAGAACAATGCTGACCACTATTAGAGATGAAGAATTAACGTATAATGTGTATTAATGTGAACAGCACAGCATCAACGCTATTACCCATAATGCATGACTTGCCCCATGCAACACAGGCATTGCTGAACTCAGGACGTGCATGTCCAAGAGATTAGTGGCTTTTGTGCAATTACCAAAATGATGTATCTTGCATTATCATGGATTGGAATTGTATTACTATGATTTGTATTTTGTTTCAATGTATCTATCGCTGTGCTATGGAAACCTGCACATTCTTCATGTTTGATCATTCGTGCCAGGTTTGCTAACTCCAGATCTTCCCCATTATTCCATTGTGTAATGGATATACTTAACATATGGAACCACTGGGAATATCGTGCAAACTATTTATTTCCAAAATGCTGAGGAAGAAAAGCAAAGGCAAAGTAATGGAACTTTGATCAGTATAATATTTGACACCATTTCTATTAATTAACCTTCAGCTCGCAGGCTTAATTAGATCTGTGTGGCCTAGCAGAACTGAAGAATTTACTCGCACAGAGCTTGTTCTGTGGAACATCCACAGAAAGCCGTACTGGTGTGTGACTGAGGACCTGCTTTAAGCAGCTTCTCCACAGCTCGGCTCTGAGGCTGACTCTCTAATGGGATTACAAGGGCCCTGGAAAGGTCTAGTTGGGATTAAACACGTGCAGTTTGGCTGTTTGCCAGTGAGGTCCTGTGCAGGTCAAATATGTGGGCTACGTTAGTGAAATGATTGGACGTGGAAGGAGAAGTCTGGAAGGCGGGTGGAGAATGATGTATAGGTAACGAGGAATGTTAACATTCTCAGAGAAATCAGCAAAAATATATGGAAGCATGGAATACTTGGTTCACAGATATTGTGGTGAAATTATTAAACAAGATGTGACTCAATGGTCCAAGGGACTAAGAACTTTTTATTTTCCCATTCTGTCTGAGAGATCAACGTTCTGCCTATTCCATAATATCTACTGTTAATGTTCAAACATCACCATCCATTCAGAGACTAGACATTGTCCCATTTAACACTGCTGGAGTGTCTGGTCATCTCTATATAATGACATTGTTAGTGCAGGCCTGTTCTAATGGGGGAGGAGGATTATCCCCCTATTCTATCATTGCTCCTGGACAATGATTGAGCCCCCTATTACCCTATTACACTTTGACACACAAAGGGCTCCCCAGTATGCCAGGTATATTTGGCCACAGGACCCTCTGTATTCAACACAGATGCGTATCTGTTGGTTAGCATCATTACAATTGCCACCCTAGTAACGGGACTCACACAGACTGCCTGGCGTTTGTGGTATTACATAACACTGGATGGCGGACAGACAGACAGATAGATTCATACCTGAACAATAGCTTTTGTTCCTACAACCTCCAGCACTTGACCGCTTCGGGCTGTGCCATCTGGTAGTGTGAATTTCACTATTTCAGCATACTGAGCAAACTTCAGGAAAAAGAAAATATGTGTCACATTATGTTAAAAAGTCAAGGATTAACCACACTTATAAACTGATAGAACAATCAGTGTTAGGTCATGGGGACGGCTCGGGGTGAGAGATAGATACAGCGAAGGAACATTCACTTCCAGGGTGGAGGCCCTTAAAGGGACTCTAATAAAAGCATGAGTGGGACCTTCTCCCACAAATCTACTGTATATTAACACTTGAATCCGGATCCTGTCTGACTGAAATCTGAATCTGATTTGGACCCATTCAGAACCTGTTTAGCAAAAACCAGACATTGTTAAATCTTATGAACACTCTTCAGATTTTGTCATCTGTACATTATCATAAGCAACGGTTGTGCTCCGTTTGGTAAGGAGCCATTAGGACTTTGATAAATAATGCTGATAATCCACAGAACCCAGCATGTACCTGTGGTATGGACAGACACACAGACGTTCTTTGGAAAGACTCATTCTGAGTCATTTTGTGATTTTGAATCTCGAATAATCTCTGCTCCATGTTGTATAACAGCAAATTAATTCTTACCTTTGTTTTCCTTCCCAAGAGCCTATTTAATAAGATTACGTTCTGGTAACAAGCCATCACGGCCATGCTATTTACTGCCTATGATATTGTTGCAGTTATTATTGGCAGCAGGACCTGAGACTTTGGTTAGAATTTTAAGATTCCTGGAAATACTCCAAGTCAGACTGACTGTTAAGACTTTGACGGTCCTAACTAATAGCCCTTCTCTGTGATGAAAGACTGGTGTCAAACTACAGACTCTTGCTCCAAAACACTGAAATAAAAATACTGCAAAGTTGTTAGCTCTTGGATACAGTCTATACCTGGTCAGTGGACCTTAGGACTCTGTTTAAGCAATGAAGATATGTAATTAGCACATATAAGAGAGATGGGACAATTGGCTTAATAGATGGATTTTCTGGAGTGTTTTCAGGATGTATGTGAACAGTTTTAGAATATCACGTGGGGAATGTGTTCAAGCAATGTAATAGTTTTAAAATACGGGACATCAGTTATAACAGTGTTATATTTTTGGTGGTTTGCTCCCAGTGAAGCATGATAGGAACCACCAGAGGTCCAAAATAACTTGCTGTAAATTTAAACAGTAAACTGAAGCAACCAAAGGTCCCGTTCCTGTACAAATAAAACCCCAACAGTCAAATATCCCAAAACAAGAGGTATCAGATGAAATGCCACTAAGGCCCAATATGCATTAGTGCCATTGGCCCCTTGCTGCTGTGCTCTTCCGGAAGGACTCAATTTTTGACTCAGGATAGTTTATTTTTACATGTGTTTACACGAGATAAGTGAATTTTTTTGTTCTATCTGTAGGAGGGAGGTTATTGTAACCTAATGGACAATCAACACCCAGCTCACTGGTTCTTAGTTGCTCAGCCAACCCAATACTTTGTTGGATTACTGAGCAGCCCAAACTCCTGGTCTGTAATCCCTAACCTAGTAACAAAGTGCTTTGGGGTAAATAAAGAATAAAAATGATTTACACATTATATCTATACCTCACATTGGCAGTCTGATGATTTGTAATAATAATAATAATAATAAGATGGCATATAGGATATTGACTGATGGTAACTTGGTATATAGAGTATTGACTGATGGTAACGTTATATAGGACATTGACTGATAATAACATAGTATGTAGGACATTGACTGATGGTAACTTGGTATATAGAGTATTATAGGACATTGACTGATAATAGCGTGGTATATACAATATTGACTGATGGTAACCTGTTATATAGGACATTGACTGATAATAACATAGTATGTAGGACATTGACTTGACATTTTTTATATGGCATTGACTGATGGTAGCATAGTATACTGAATGAATACTGACTGACGGTAACATGTTATATATGGCATTGACTGGTGGTAACATGGTATACTCATGGGCGTGCGCAGCCTATTGCATTAGGGTGTGCACCCTAAAGCAGAAGCACCTGCCGCGTATATTTATATATACATATATACACACACATACACTGCTGTGTGTGTGTGTGTGTGTGCTGTGCGAGGGTGCTGTTAGTGTTATGTGTGTGTGAGGGTGCTGGTAGTGTGCAATGTGGGTGAGGGTGTTTGTGTGTGTGTGCTTATGAGGGTGCTGTTAATGTACTGTGTGTGAGGGTGCTGTTTGTGTGTGTGTGTGCGCTTGTGAGGGTGCTGTTAATGTACTGTGTGTGAGGGTGCTGTTTGTGTGTGAGGGTACTGGTAGTGTGCTGTGTGTGTGTTTATTAGGGTCCTGTTTGTGAGGGTACTGTTAGTGTGCTGTGTGTGTGTGAGGGTGCTGTTTGTGTGCTGTGCGAGGGTGCTGTTAGTGTTATGTGTGTGTGAGGGTGCTGGTAGTGTGCAATGTGGGTGAGGGTGTTTGTGTGTGTGCGCTTATGAGGGTGCTGTTAATGTACTGTGTGTGAGGGTGCTGTTTGTGTGTGTGTGTGTGTGCGCTTGTGAGGGTGCTGTTAATGTACTGTGTGTGAGGGTGCTGTTTGTGTGTGAGGGTACTGGTAGTGTGCTGTGTGTGTGTTTGTTAGGGTCCTGTTTGTGTTTGTGAGGTACTGTTAGTGTGCTGTGTGTGTGTGAGGGTGCTGTTTGTGTGCTGTGTGTAAGGGTGCTGTGTGTGTTTGTGAGGGTGCTGTTTGTGAGGTTGCTGTATGTGTGTGTGCTGTATATGTGTGGGTGCTGTGTACGTGTGTAGGTGCTGTGTATGTGTGTGGGTGCTGTATGTGTGTGGGTGCTGAATGTGTGTGGGTGCTGTGTATGTGTGTGGGTGGTGTATGTGTGGGTGTTGTGTATGTCTGTGGGTGCTGGTATGCTGAGTGAATACTGACTGATGGTAACATGATATATTACATTTTGATATGACATATTGATCTTGTTTTTTTATTTTGTTTGAATAAGAAATGGTTCCATTATGTTAGAAAAAAAAAATATTTACCTACAGAAGCCACCATTAAATTCTATGGGAATTAATGTAGTTTAAACATTTAAAAAGGTTTTCCTAACACAATGGAATAACTTCTGATTCTGATTCAAACAAATTAAGTCAAGGCCATTGATTGGCTTGTGGATTTTAACTTAATGAAGATATTTAGTGTATTGACTGGCTGACTTATTTTTTTTTATTTAATTGTTTCTTTTTTCAGTTCTTAATTCTAATTCTTAGAATGATTACACGTGGATAGCTCTTTACACATAGCAAACCAATGTATCAGCTTGCGTGGTCTATTAACTCGAGATTTCCACTCAGATGATGATATCTAGTGAGCATTCAACCAGCAAACCATATATTTAGATCATGTTTTTATATCCTACATTTAAGTTTCGAGCTTTATTACAAGATTTTCTATTTTTCCAAATTGCATATTATTTGTTCTATCTGTATTTGAATATTTTATATATTTAATTTGCTGGTTCATTAAATGTGAGGAAGGTTGAGGTATTATTCTGGTACAATGCTTTGCTTGAAAGCAACTTGTAAAATTTCAACTTATTTATGTCATAAAAGGCTTCCCCAGTTGAGTTAGGATCAGGAAGACATAATTACACTACAGCTATCCAACCTCAAGGTCAAGTTGATCTTCAACCTATTGTCACATTGCTGGTCCCTTACACTAATGACTACCGAAGTAAGGGAACGGGCAAATGAATTAACAGGATTATGTGAACCTGGCTGAGTTTTCTTCATTACTATATTGTTTCTGCCTTTGCAGTTTGTAAATTAAACTGGTTTATTAGCTAAGTTATAAATTACAAAATTTAAGGGAAAATCGTCTGATTTCACCTAATTTTGGAATTTCGATATTTTCTGACATTGTGATCAAATTTGTTAGTTGAACAGACAGATCAAAGGATATTTATCGAACAAAAACAAGTGCTATTCTGGGGCAAAATGCTAAATAAACTTACCATGTAAACAAGAAGAATGTTACATAGTTAAATAGTTGTTTTATAATTACATATTTACTGTTATCTTAAAAAAATGTCTTCCATCATGTTTTGTTTTTAAATCCCATATTGTGTTTTTGTATGTGCATGTGATTGTGTGATATAATGACATCATATACCTTCACATTGTCCAACACAACCAATGGTCCATTGACCCCGCAAACTGTCCGATAACCTGCAGGAAAAGGAGAGGAGAAAGATTCAGATAATTTTATCAATTGCAGGCAGATAAATTCCTCACTTTTTTAATGTATCAGAATCGGTTACAGGCAGATCATTTTGTGCATATCAATCTGTATATCTTCAGTTAATATGTATTTTTTCTCCAAAGGCATGGTCACAGACCCGACCAGACTCTGAGTCCATACCTGATCACTGACCAGCTGCTTGGAACTTTTTCACCTGGTCTACTAGATATTTGTTCATGGCCACCAGACTTAATAATCCACCATTTGCTTTGATATAATGGCAGGGCGGCATGAGCTGTGTTAGCTAGAGGGTAGCAGAGATCTGCGCCATTTAAAGATAAGCAACATAGAATGAAAATATGTAAACAGCTGTTGGACCCTCCAGTTCAAAGCAAACCACTTCTAGAAAATTAAACTAGATGCAGATCTCCGATGTTTCTCTCGTTATTAGTATCATAAATTTGAGATAGACAATTTTGGTATATATTTTTATGATTGCTGTGTTTCGACCAGGTTGTCTCCGTTTTTGCAGCCAGGAGATGGCATGGAAGTCTTAGGACAATATATTCCCCTGACCCACTATCCTTCTTCGCAATTATGATCAAAGAAAATCAACTGGAACGTTTAGCTTTTAAATCCGCAAATTCCACAGAGAAAAAAAGAAGCGACAGAGAATAAGAAAATCACAGAGCACATCAGTAACATGTAGACTATCCCCGGAAAACACCAATTTCACTAATTGAGAGTTTGAGATCTCAGGAAGAAAGGAAAAAAGTAGTAAGAAATGGGCAAAAGGAAAAGAAATAAAATCTTTCGTTCAGGGACAGAAGGCTGTGTGGGTGGGCTGGGATTTTCTTAAAGGAGGAAAAGAAAAAGCTGTTAGGAAATAGGAATGACTGCCAATTCCGTAACAACAAAAAAAAGTCTTTCAACCTGACCCCTCTGCACACACTCACCCAAAATTCACAGGTCCTGTCACATACAATCACCATTAGCACTGTGTATAAGGCGCTATTAACTCACATCAGGCATGGGAGAGAGGAGGGGGCAAAGACGAACCCAACTGGATTTGAGGATAGAAAGACCACTCTGGAAGCGTCTGAAGAATTAGAGTTTTGCTTTGAATCTTATAATACGAACATTTTAAAGGAATCCGGTCACGTTATTGTGCCGTTAATTTACTAAACCAAAGAGTATGGAGAATAGGCACGGCAACTGAACATTGTAGACTAAAATAAAAAAAATAAAAACAATATTGGAAAAATATCTTCAACTCAGCTATGTTTCAAACTGGGATAATTTCATTTAAAATTAACAAATCCTTCATAAATTCTCCATAATTCCAAGCTCAGCGAACAAACCTTAAGGTGTTTCAACAAAGCTGTCGTGCGGGTAGACTTCCTTTTTCATTTTTAAATGCAGTTTTATTAGAGCCAAATGATAGCACAAACCATTGCAAACAAGCCAAAACATACACAGGTAGGAACAAAGTGGATACAGGCATTAAGAATGCAATGTAAACACGATCAGCTTCGTAATATAGGAATAATGAAGAAACATTCTAAATAGACTATGCTGTACACTGTTTGAGCAGGGCCCTCTTCACTTCTTGTATCTGACGACAGCGGTGGTCTGTCAATTACTTACAGTAATATATAACAACATGGTATAATCGTAAAATGCTGCATGGTATGTTGGAGCAACGAAAATGAAAATATAAACAATATATAACCAGATTCAAATATTTACCCATAGAGATTTGAGCAGTGAGAATGCAGGGGCATAATCTATACACCAAAACTGATTCATTAAGCTAAAGCTGCCTCTTTAATCTAGACAAATCAGTCTGTGTTACTGAATTCATTTATAATCTCATGATACACTGTCATTAATTGACTCCATTTACACCCGTGGCATTGCTTTAGTTACCTGTGACTCTACTCACTCCATGAAAGTGAAATCTTACTTTTCTGACTGAGGATGATAGGGGATGAAGTGGGCTCTGAGAGAGTGGTTGCTGGTTTACGTGCAATAAAAGAACTCAGGGGGGAGTATTCATTTCAATCTACTAGCTGTTATGAGGCATAATTGGTCCAGCTATGGATTGCAGTGGAGATTTAGCCAAGCCTTATACTCTGAGAACATGATGTCTGTTACTGAATGAATATAATATTTTTTACGGAGAGAGCTCTCTGAGAGCTCCGTTAAATGTGAGTGACAGGTTTATCGGGTTTAGCTCGGAATGCTAATACACAAGCAGGTGTCCGCTTATGACTGATTTTAGATCAAAGTGAGTTAATAAAACTATACTATGACCTACATGATCATTGTTATGCTTTATTTGTAAGAAGGTGCGTGAATGGGAAGTAACCTTACTATTTCCAGACAGGTCTGAGACACATTGTTTCAGTTCTGTGTTTCAAGATCATTTCTGTTACTATCATGGCATGATGTCAAACTTGCGGTGAAATTGTCTCCCAAACAAGGCATTGACTTACAGGGAATAATATTTTATCTATACATTGAGCTATGTGAATTGCACTTGGAAAGTTCTTAAATAAATTTCACAAATTGCACAAACAGTGTACTTTTTATTTCTGTCCAATTCTCTGCAATTTAAGAACTATAGTGTTATTTAGTAAAAGTGAAAATAAAAAGTGAATTTCCAATTCTTACATTTCTGCTATTTTCACCTTAAAGAAACACTACAGTATCAGGAATACAATTATGTATTCCTGATATTTTCGTCTTGAAAATGCAGTTTAGGTGACCAGCCCCCCTCTGATCGCAGGAAAAAGGTGATTTTAGTAACCTTTTCTACCACGCCATGGCGGTCTCGCCGTGGCTGGCATTTTCTGGCCCAGTCTAGTCTCATCCAATCCAGTGCTTTACCATAGGAAAGCATTGGGAGGCTATTGCGCTTGAATGGCAAAATGCTGCATGGCACCAATCAGCATCTCTTCATATAGATACATTGAATCAATTCATCTCGATGTGGAATTTTCAGTGCCTTTATGCAGAGCCACACTGTGCAGCACTGACCCAGGAAGCACCTCCCATGGCTGTTTGAGTTACTGCCACTAGAGGTGTTACCAGTAGTAATGTAAACACTGCACTTTCTCTGAAAGGGAAATGTTTACATGAAAATGCCAGAAGGGATACACTATACACACCAGAACAACTACATTAGGCTGTACTGGTTCTGGTGACAACAGTGTCCCTTTATACTTGAAATTCACTTTGAATCCACACTTTAGTAAATAGCCGCAGACTTTAAAATTAATCTGAAACCTACTGTTACCTTCTGAAAACCCTACTGTTACCAGGACAATTAAGAATTGCTTACAATGGTGAAGGTTTATTCACTGTGCATTAAAGTAAATTTCACATTTAAAGCCAAAATAGCAAAAATTAAAACTGACTTTTTCCTTAATCAGCTATTTTGGCCTAAATGTTGGAATTCACTTTGAAATCACATTGGATTCCCACCCCTGTTAATCAATAAACTCTGAAATACAGCAAATTAAAATATGAAAGGCACAATTTAGGCAAAAGCAGCTAAACTGAAAATATTTACAAACTCTCGTCTGACTAAGCTATAGCGAACAGCAATTTGGCTATTTTCGCCTTAGTTTTGCCTTTTGGATTTCACTTTGTTAGAATTTAGTGAATAATCCCCCCCAGTGTAGTCACAAACATTTTAACAAAGACGTTCTAAGTAAAAACTCTCTCTGCAGGGCTGCATGACTTTGTACAGACTGCAGCCTCCGAATTCCCACCGCAAACGTGATCACCCATCATCCACCAGAAAGGGTTTAGATGAAAATAACTCAATATCGCCTGGAAAAGTTCAGATCCTCTATATTTGATCATTTTTTAGCCCCAGTCAACTAGAGTTAAAAAAAAAAAAGTTTTAGAAATGTTAAGACAATCCCTCTCTTGTTTGCCCTTTACCCCCGTTTCATTGTGCAATGTGTCAGCCTGGGCAGGTCCGTCAAACTAGGCGACCAATCCCGAGCCGGCAGCCCTGGTGAAAAGCCCAGTGGGGATTCCCACACTATGCCACTAATTAAGAGCGCAGACCACTGTTCCCAGACACACCTGCACAGTCACGTGACTACAGAAAGACTGATCTGCCCAAGCGTGAAGGGGAACAAGAGTGAAAGCGATGTGAAAGAGGTCTCTGGACTGCTGCCTCGCAAAACACATATTTCATGTTTCATTGAGGAAAAGATTAATTTGCAAGTGTTCACGCTTCCTTTGTCTCTCCCCAATTTGTGTGGGCCCCCGTCTACGCCATCACTGGACGCAACGTGGACCTGTTGCCAACTAGGATTTGTGGTCATGTGGCCTCACCTTGATATGCCAGTAAGACACTCCAACTATTGTTGGATTGCAACTCCTATTATGCTGAGATAATAGCAGAAAGCATCCTTTCTTCAAGTTGGGAAAATGCAACGTGCTCCTGCATCGCCCAATTAGTTATAACTTTGTCTGGCTGAGGGTTATGGGCAGGATCAGGCTGGTATGATTCAGCCCTGTGCGTAAAGTCTGTAAATGGATTAATGAACCGCTCTTGCAGCATATGAACCCTCTATACTGTAGGGCAACATTTATCATGTATTGCCCAACAGCATGAGGATGTGATATGTGCCCAAGGGAATATGGTGAATTCTGCAAATTTAGTTCTAGGGCCACACAGAAATAGCTGGAGATATCCTATCCAACCATACGCTGGCCCCATTGGATAGGGTAGGGTGAAATATATCTAAGCTTTTGACTACCCCCTACAGTCACAGGAAATGTCTTTTATTCACTTTATCCAGTACTGACTCATATACTCATCGTTTGGTCTTGGAAATGGAATATCTCTAAAATAGCAAAATATACAGAAATGTGATAAAATAACACCACCACTCACACACAAAAAAGAATAGTTCCAACCAAAATGCTTACAGAGCTACTGGTTAGGTGCCCCAGGGGCAGCTTGCCATAAGTCACGAGGCCGGATTGTGGCCGTGTTTTTAACTTTCACTGGATTTTTTTATATTGTTTCATTTTAGAGGATGTTTCATTTTAGAGGATGTCCATTCAAGGGCATTCATGGTTAACGATGGAAAAGGTGAGTTTAGTTGAGGAAATCAAAAGATGCCAACGTATTGTAGAAATGCAAGTTTCATGATTCTTTGTTAGCCTTTCATTGACGTGAGAAGTAGCTATATCTGCACACCTGCGGGACATTGTGTGAGGGGTAGAGGGGCACTTTTGGGCAGATCTTCCTCTTAAAGCCCATATTTTACTATCTTTATTATCCTTTCCACTAGAGCAGGAAAGAGCTTGAGCAACCAGCAGGTACTAATTAATTTGTGACAAAGACCAGGAATTAATCTGAAATGTAACTATTCTGGACACTTTTACAGTCTATTAGGCTACAGAATATATACAGTTGCAAGAAAAAGTATGTGAACACTTTGGAATGATATGGATTTCTGCACAAATTGGTCATAAAATGTGATCTGATCATCATCTAAGTCACAACAATAGGCAATCACAGTCTGCTTAAACTAATAACACACAAAGAATGAAATGTTGCCATGTTTTTAGTGAACACAATGTAAACATTCACAGTGCAGGAGGAAAAAGTATGTGAACCCTTGGATTTAATAACCGGTTGAACCTCCTTTGGAAGCAATAACTTCAACCAAACGTTTCCTGTAGTTGCAGATCAGACGTGCACAACGGTCAGGAGTAATTCTTGACCATTCCTCTTTACAGAACTGTTTCAGTTCAGCAATATTCTTGGGATGTCTGGTGTGAATCGCTTTCTTGAGGTCATGCCACAGCATCTCAATCGGGTTGAGGTCAGGACTCTGACTGGGCCACTTCAGAAGGCGTATTTTCTTCTGTTTAAGCCATTCTGTTGTTGATTTACTTCTATGCTTTGGGTCATTGTCCTGTTGCAACACCCATCTTCTGTTGAGCTTCAGCTGGTAGACAGATGGCCTTCAGTTCTCCTGCAAAATGTCTTGATAAACTTGGGAGTTAATTTTCCCTTCGATGATAGCACTCCGTCCAGGCCCTGACGCAGCAAAGCAGCCCCAAACCATGATGCCCCCACCACCATACTTCACAGTTGGGATGAAGTTTTGATGTTGGTGTGCTGTGCCTTTTTTTTGCCACACATAGTGTTGTGTGTTTCTTCCAAACAACTCAACTTTGGTTTAATCTGTCCACAGAATATTTTGCCAGTACTGCTGTGGAACATCCAGGTGCTCTTGTGCAAACTGTAAACGTGCAGCAATGTTTTGTTTGGACAGCAGTGGCTTCCTCTGTGGTATCCTCCCATGAAATCCATTCTTGTTTAGTGTTTTACGAATTGTAGATTGGCTAACAGGGATGTTAGCATTTGCCAGTGACTTTTGTAAGTCTTTAGCTGACACTCGAGGATTCTTCTTCACCTTATTGAGCAGTCTGCGCTGTGCTCTTGCAGTCATCTTTACAGGACGGCCAATCCTAGGGAGAGTAGCAGCAGTGCTGAACTTTCTCCATTTATAGACAATTTGTCTTACCGTGGACTGATGAACAGCAAGGCTTTTGGAGATACTTTTATAACCCTTTCCAGCTTTATGCAAGTCAACAATTCTTAATCGTAGGTCTTCTGAGAGCTCTTTTATGCAAGGCATCATTCACATCAGGCAATGCTTCTTGTGAAAAGCAAATCCAGAACTGGTGTGTGTTTTTTTTTATAGGGCAGGGCAGCTGTAACCAACACCTCCAATCTCATCTCATTGATTGGACTCCAGTTGGCAGACATCTCACTCCAATTAGCTCTTGGAGATGTCATTAGTCTAGGGGTTCACATACTTTTTCCACCTGCACTGTGAATGTTTACATGGTGTGTTTAATAAAAACATGGCAACATTTCATTCTGTGTGTGTTATTAGTTTAAGCAGACTGTGAAGCTATAAATACTACATATACGCTGACAACATGGGGCGTAAGCAGAGGCAGCAATTTTAGGTAGAGAGACCCGCTTTCCCCGACATTAGGCTATCGTTTGAGTGGCCTACACCTACATTCTTTAATCCATCCTTCTCTCCCTGCCTTTTGCTTACCTACCTTTTTTCTTTCTTTCTTATTATATTACATGCCCTACATAACGAGACTGTATGCTGAGCTATGAGATCCCAGAAACAAGCCAGCGATGACCTAATATACATGTATCTACTATACTCCCCATACTATTGCATAGTTGTATGCTGAAAGAAAACTTTCAAAATACAAACTACAGGTGGCCTGACCACCATGCCGAACGGTTGCACTAAGCCTGAGCTCCGTGAGGAACTTTGAATTTAAGCGATATAATAGACTTTTGAGCCCCTTATTACAAGCTTGAAGCTTCAAGTGCTTTATTAAGGCAGGTGGGAATGACATTGCCTTCCTTACCTCGGAATCTGTGGTGTAAAGTCCTGCGGCCTACTTAAGGGCCCTCCTGGTGGTGGGGACACAGAAGCGGCCTATCTCTCGGTCTCTTGCCTGCAAGGAAACAGCCTTGCGGTGGTTGAGCCCATCTCCCCCCCTCCGACGGAGAGGGTAATCCTGGAACCCCATCAACATAGGAAGCACAGCCAGGAGAGTGGCACTGCCAAAATGGAGGCTGGGGTAAAGGAGCCCGCAACTCTCACTCGAGTCCAGACTGGACAGGATATTTGAAGCATTCTGGCTGAAACTGGCAAGCAGAGCACAATGTCTCTCACACATACATTCGTCTGCTGATTCACCTCTGCAACCCAATTAGCATCTAGTATCCTGCAATGCGGTGTGCTCTCCACAGAAGCAAGGCTTGATACCGAGCCGCAGTTCTCCGCGGCAAGCTGACACCGACCCTTCTACTCGGCTCCTTAGAAGACCAATGAAGCAACAGTGCCACTCGCCTGTACAGTCTCCCCAATATATTCAGGCACAACCTGTGGCCTCTAACCCTCGGAGGGTGTGCTCCTGATGGCACAGACCACAACGGTTCAAATCCAGACAGGCTGTTAATGGACCTGCTCCGAAGCATGCTTCAGCAAGGCCTGAGCTTTCCACTTGGACAGCAGAGGGGAAAGGCACACACAGGGAGCCTCAGAGGTCTCTACACCACCCTATGGATCTCATGCCACTGGATGGGCAGACCAACACCACCTTGGGAACTATGTCATACCAGCTGCTGGCGTGGGCTAAGTGACACTCGTGATACTTAACAGTCGCACGGCTTGCCCACTCTGATAAGAGTCTAGCTCCTGTTAAACACCTATTCTTTAATCTGCCAACATCACATATTTACTCCTGTGTGTGTTCATCACCATAATGTGTGGTAGCTCAGCTCACATACAATATTGTCTCTTCACTGACCTATGTTTCCACATCTCAGCTACATGGTGCACTAGCTTAACCTTGATCAGTGTTTTTGAGCCAAGCACTGTGACATATAAACTATCCAGGTGCCTCTGGGTCTAGGGTGTACTGCTTCTTAACCTCTACATGTCTAGAATAGTTCTTGCTCACCTAGTTTAATTTTTACCAGTCGATTAGACATGCTTACTTAACCGGACTATAATCTACTATAAAAATTGTGCTGTATTTTCTAAAGCTGACCAACTGTTATGCTGTGTTTTATCGTATACTTGCAAATGCTGTTGGGGCACTGCGAGCTACCATGTTATGTTTTCATGCACTACAAAAATAAAGAATAATAAAAAATTTATACAAATTACAAAAAATAATAATTTTTTTTAAGTGTTAATTAATTTGTTTTTTTTGGACCTTAGTGAAAAACCATGCTACAAGTTGTTGCTCATTGAGCAGAGGTTAATGTTAGCTAAGAGGGAGACGGCTTCGTTTGCAGCCGGGGGTGCAATGTGGCAACAAAGTGTACAATGCTCTAGCCGTGTACAACGTTTTGCTCAATTTGTTCCCTAAAGGGAGGCCCGGACAAGGATTTTACCATCACTCTTTGTTTTCTCTGAGATTCTTTCCTGGGATGAGAGAAAGCTGAGCGGTGGGCTGGCTGCCAAGGAAGGGATCTGCCAAGCTGTGAAGGTGAGCCAAGTGAGAGCAATGGGGCATATAACAGGAACCCATTCGGTTAGGTGCCAGAGAGCAATGACTTGATGTACAAGGAAATTAGGGACAGGGGGCTTCGCTCTGTGGGCTGCCCGTAAAGAGAATACATTGTAATACTCACTGCAAGGCACTGTGGGACTTAATGAAATCATTTAAAGTCTGCCTTGGCAACCAGCTGATACAGAATCCCTGTTAATTGTAAGACATTTTTGGCAAATTAATTGATCAAGACAACAAGTAATTTTGCTTTGTAATTTCTCAGTAATGTCAATAAGACACCAGTCAGTTTTAGGATTGCACATCTAAATGAACCACATAGACTCAGTATGTTTAAGCATGTGGTCCAGGATGGTACGCATAAAATCACAGATTTAAATGGTTTTTTGTTTGCCAAATATGAGCTTCAGTAGCACTGTACATATGGCTGTATGCTAGTCAGTGGGGTGTGCATTCATGCCAGGCTAACATGCCCCTTTTTTAGGTGTACCACACCCTTTCAGCTGGAGTAACCCCTTTTGGACATCGCCAGTGACACAAAAATAAATGTCACTTCCACAGTCACCGCACCCACCCCCAGTTCCATCCTCTAACTTTCCAGTGTTAGAAGGTATAGTGTGTCTATAGCCCTCACCGGCTCGCCTTCTCCATGCCTGCTTGGTCTGTGACCGTCAAACACTGGTGTCACACGCACCTACTATAATAATACTACAGAGTCAGCAGGAACCCCTTGGGTTTCTGAGTTCAGTTTGAATTTGGGCAGGGGTGGGACAGGCAGCCGCATCAGTCAGTCCCATGCGGCGCTGCCCATGTCACATAGACAATGCTCTGAGTTTAGTTAGCACAGCAGGGGGACTCTCCAAATGTGGAGCACTAGAGTCATGTTTGGTAAATAACCTTGTTAATGGCATGTGTTTGCAAGGCGGCTGATCAGGTCGTGCACCACTCACACATCCCCAATGTCCCCCCCGAGTCTCCTGCACACTGTATCCAGCAGTTTGGTGGCAGCAGCACCGTCAGGGGGAGCTCAGGAGGTGAAGCGCGTCAGGCTGCAGGGTGTGAGGCTCTGTGTATGCCTTCACGCCTGGCAGAAAAGGGGTCAGTAAGGTCAAGAGCAAACAACCCAGACTGCTGGGCCATGGCAGAGTCTAAAGGGAACGGGCTGCGTCTAACCCACATCACTAATTGTCACTGTTAATGGCCTTTGTCAGGAGCTTCAGAGAATGCACTCTTTCTAAGCAGGCAATCAGCAAGGAGTGCACAAAACAGCTACATCATGAAAAGACTTTAGGATTCTGGATCTCCACAACTACAACTCCCATCATGCTGAGGCTGAAATTTATGAGAGCTACACACAGTAATTCTCACTAAAGTGAAAAATAATTCAAAGAGAATTCCAATTTTAAGGCCAAAGTAGTCGAACTGAATGCAACGCTGACTTAGAGAATTTTTCCAGTTCGGCTATTTTGACCTTAAATCTGAAATTCACCTTGAGTTTTCACTTTAGTAATTAACCAGAAAAAAACAAAGTCCTGGCACCCCTGGTGCTGCAAAGAACAACTCCCATCAGGCTGAGCTCAACAAGACCCAAGCAGATGTAACACCAGAGGTTTATAGAAAGTAGAATAATTGGCTTCCATTATCACCAAAACATACACAATCAATAACACCTTTTACATTTATATCCTTAGTCGAGGTGGAAAAAAATATATTTTTGCAGCTTATTTCCAACGTTTTGGACGAAGGTTTGTTAATTTAGAATAGCTTACACTCAAATAAAATGACAATAAATATATAAAAAGAAATAAAAAGTAATTGCTTGTGTGCCTGTCTTTTAACAGGTAGAATACAACTCTCAGCATGCTCATTCAAACACAAAGGTTCCAACAGATATGGGAGCTGCTATTCCCCAATCTCTCTCTGGAGGGCGCTGTGTTTTAATCAGAGCCAGGTGTACAGGTCAGTGTTCAGACCTGGATAATCTGACATGTTTTCACCCAGGGCTGATGAAGCAAAGAGTTAAGGAGCGATAATGACCCCTGCTAATCATTTTCACACCCATCGGCCTTGGCATGTGATAGAAGAACAGGACCTCTTGCTCCTTTGGGAATTATGTCACATACAATCAGGTCTGCTTCAGGACTTTCAGGAAATGGCAAATTGCAGATGGCTGGGCCTCTCTGAACGCAGAGCACACTGACCCCACATCAATGGACAAAAGCAAAAAAAATCAATGGGGTTCATTCCCCAAACTGTGAACTGACATCCGACTTGTAAAGATTAGCCTTAGATAACAGTTAGAGGAGCAGGTGAGATGGAGAATTATCACATTTTCTGTGTATTCACTCTTTAGTACATAAACACCTTTGATCTTTAAAAAAAAAACAAAAAAAAAACACATTTGCTATATTTGGTTGATGTAGGGTCAGCCGGACTATCCCGATTTTAGTATCCTGTCCTGCCACCCTGGCTTCCTTCCTTGGTGTCCCGCAGCACATTTTTAGACGCTTGCTCTCACTAGGACCCTGCAGAGAGCACTGAATCACACATAGAGGTAAATTAGATTCCAGTGTTTGTAACCAACCAATAGCATGTTCACATTTTTGTATACCTTGCAACAATGGCGTTCTGTGAATTCCTATGGGGATTCCGGCGACGTTCAAAGTCGTCATGCATAGCGTAATGACGGCCAGCGTCGATTAGGCGACCAAAAGTGGTCTAAGCACCTGGAAGTCCCTCTAGTGGAGGAGATAACCTTTATAAAATCTGCAATAATTACCACTCTAGGGTTAAGGGTGATGGGAGTTGGCACCCAGACCTCTTCAATGGGCGGAAATTGTCTGGGCGCCTACAGTGTCCCTTTAATCTCATGATGATGAGCTTGATAGGCTGATGTCATGAGGTTACAGAGAACCCAGTGCTTGGATGATGCTAAAATGTGGCAGATGTTTCATTATTATCCCAAAATATTCCGTATAAACTTAACTGTAAATTACTGTCATTAACCATTATAAGGAGATTTAGAACAGCTTTTACCTTGGGTCTGTCGGACGCCGGCCCCTGTCTCCATTACCTCAGCCAGAACGGTGGAAGCTCTGGTCTGAGTTAAGCATGGCGGCGCAGGGCTTAGCTCATTGGATGAAAATGATCAGGTGACTGCAGGGCTTAGCTCATTGGATGAGAGCGATCAGGTGACTGCGCGGTTTAGTTCAGGAGCGCTAATGTAAGCTCCTGCACAGGAAGTTCTGTCCCTTTGGCTGAGGTAGTAGAGTTTGGAATTGTGGACCCCAGGTAAACAAGTCACCCCATCTTAAAACAGTTTGATTTCTTTGGGGGGTGCGCTGTAGTAGCTTTGATACTTGGAGAATTCCTTCAACCCCTTAAGGACAGCAGGTGTCCCTATTACTTACCAGGTCCCCGCAGATCCCCCGCTGGTGGCCGCGATCTTGGGGCTGATCCGGTTGTCACCAGTAATGTGATCGCAGGGTATTGCAAATGGGCCAGGCCCAGTCTTCTTTAGTTACAAACACTGGCCAAAGTTAGCGTTCATATTTAGATTTTTTTGCATTTTCCACAGACAAACAAAAACGCTAACTTTGGCCAGTATTTGCGACTAAGTTGCTACTAAAAAAGACTGGACATACCCCACGTGTAATACCTTGGGTTGTCTACTTTTGCAGATGGTATGCCATGATGGGGGTAATATTCTTTTCTGGGCTGCCATACGGTCTCAAACATAAACCCCGCAAACCAATCTGGCAAACAGAAATTGGCAAACCCTATATTGACCCTGTAACTTCCCAAAACACCATAAAACCTTAACATCGGGGGCACTGATGTACTCGTGAGACATTGCTGAACAGAAATGTGTGTTTTATTGCAGTAAAAGCTAACAGTATATGACATTCACAGTTAATATGCTGCACCGAAGGAAAATATTTCTTAATTTCGCAAACATTTTTTAGTTTTTCTTCACATTAAATTATATTTCATATATAAATATTTAATGTTAAATGAAAACCCTGTTTCTTCTGAACAAAATGATATGAGTGTAGGTGTACTTAATAGGAAAGCCAAATATAGCTCCAATAAAGGAGCAGGGGTGCCCACAAGGTAGATCACCAGATGTTTTAAAACGGCAGCTTCCTTGATGCTTTGTCATTCTAAAGGCACGCAAAGCATCACGGGAGTTGTAGTTCTACAGAATATGGGGAATCTACAATGTGGGCACCCCTGCTCTTTTATTGGAGCTATATTTGGCTCAACTATAGTTCACCTCTCTCCTATAGTTTGTTTAAATTTTGTTTTGATCTGAATTTGCACAATTGCCTCTGTCCATAAGGTGTTATACGTTACATAGAAACATAGAAACATAGAATGTGACGGCAGATAAGAACCATTCGGCCCATCTAGTCTGCCCAATTTTCTAAATACTTTCATTAGTCCCTGTCCTTATCTTATAGTTAGGATAGCCTTATGCCTATCCCACTCATGCTTAAACTCCTTTACTGTGTTAACCTCTACCACTTCAGCTGGAAGGCTATTCCATGCATCCACTACCCTCTCAGTAAAGTAATACTTCCTGATATTATTTTTAAACCTTTGTCCCTCTAATTTAAGACTATGTCCTCTTCTTGTGGTAGTTTTTCTTCTTTTAAATATAGTCTCCTCCTTTACTGTGTTGATTCCCTTTATATATTTAAATGTTTCTATCATATCCCCCCTGTCTCGCCTTTCCTCCAAGCTATACATGTTAAGATCCTTTAACCTTTCCTGGTAAGTTTTATCCCGCAATCCATGAACCAGTTTAGTAGTAATAACCCCTAAATCCCTTTCCTCATATGTTGAGGTTAGAACTCTATCAAATATTCTGTACTCTGCCCTTGGGTTTTTACATCCAAGATTCATTATCTTGCACTTATCCACATTAAATGTCAGTTGCCACAATTCTGACCATTTTTCTAGTTTACCTAAATCATTTGCCATCTGGCTTATCCCTCCTGGAACATCAACCCTGTTACATATCTTAGTATCATCAGCAAAAAGACATACCTTACCATCAAGACCTTCTGCAATATCACTAATAAAAATATTAAAGAGAATGGGTCCAAGTACAGATCCCTGAGGTACCCCACTGGTGACAAGTCCAAGCTTCGAATATATTCCACTAACTACAACCCTCTGTTGCCTGTCACTCAGCCACTGCCTTACCCATTCAACAATATTTGAATCCAAACTTAAAGATTGCAGTTTATTGATGAGCCTTCTATGTGCAACAGTGTCAAAAGCCTTACTGAAATCTAGGTAAGCAATGTCTACTGCACCATCCTGATCTATAATTTTAGTTACATTACTGGGAATATTATGGCTGCGGAGCTCTGTTATACACTCAGACACATTACTGGGAGTATTATTGCTGTGGAGCTCTGTTACACACTCAGACACATTACTGGGAGTATTATTGCTGTGGAGCTCTGTTATACACTCAGACACATTGCTGGGAGTATTATTGCTGTGGGGCTCTGTTATACACACACATTACTGGGAGTATTATTGCGGTGGAGCTCTGTTATACACTAAGACACATTACTGGGAGTATTATTACTGTGGAGCTCTGTTATACACTCAGACATACCGACAACATGGAGCTTCTAGAAAAGAGGGAGCGAGGAATGTTATACCAAGATAGGGACTGTTCCTCCTAAACTGGGGCAGTCTGAAAGTATGAGATTGTGATCGCAGCTATTAACAAAAAAAAAAGTGCTACTAAAAATCTGCATGCAATTTCTTTTGTAGGACAGTCCTGTTGCCAAAGGGTTAATTGTCATGTCCCACCCAGACTGCTCAGAGATTGATTGATTACAGGGGGAGAATAAAAGAGAGCTACCATCTCTTCACTCAGAAATTCAAGCTGTTTACTGGGGCTCTGGCAAGACTACGTGAAATAAACACATGATAATTGTTATGCCCTAATTAAGCAGAGCTGACCACTGCAGAAGGCTTTCCAAGTAGTTAATGACCAGATGGTGTGCTAGTTAATACACTTGAAAACTTAACCCCACAACCCATTAATGAATGAGATTTTTTTTCCTTTTTACGGCCCTCGTTTGGGTGGGGGGTTTGTACCCTTAAAGCAAATTCTGCTTTCTGAGATTAAAAATCAGTGCTGGTTCTAAGAACACTTGCCAGATCAACCGATTTTGGGTGATATCTATGGATCCAGCTTTCTTTCTGTGAAGGATTGAGAGTCCTGCCTGACAGAATGCAGAATACATGCAATCCAAATTTCATTGGAATTAATTAACTGAGGCAGCTCCGGCTGTAATTAGTTAATGAATTCATTGCCGGTAGCACAGTGCTTTATAAGCCTGTCCAAGAGAATGCTGAATTCATAAGAATTCCACAGAAATATGGCAAACGAATAACCAAGGGGAAACAATCTGAAAATCACAGATTATTCAATAAAGGGGGAACTGTTAAAAGAACACTCCAGGCACCCAGACCACTTCTGCCCATTGGAGTGGTCTGGGTGCCAACTCCCACTACCCTTAACCTGCAAGTGTAATTATTGCAGTTTTTTATAAACTGCAATAATTACCTTGCAGGGTTAACCCCACCTCTAGTGGCTGTCTACTAGACAGCCACTAGAGGGCACTTCCTGCTTCCTAGCACAGGAAACCTCCAGCGTCACTCATTTCCCCATAGTAAAGCACTGAAATGCATTTTTAAGGCTCCTATGGGGAGCGCTAATGCGCATGCGCGGCATTTCCGCGCATGCGCATTAGGTCTTCCCGGCCGGTGGGCGGGATCAGTTTTGCCCACCGGCTGACGCAGTCAGAAGGAGGAGCGGTGGCGGAGGAGGAAGCAGCGACGAGGGCATCGCCACTGCCTCAGGTAAGTTACTGAAGGGGTTTTCACCCCTTCAGCAACCGGGGATTGGGGGGTGGGAGGGAGAGGGAACCTGCAGTGCCAGGAAACCGGATTGTTTTCCTGGCACTGAAGTTTCCCTTTAAGAATTCAAAGAGAATGTTATGTCTGAAGCCAAAATAGCTGTACCGAAAACAGCTGGATTTAAGGATTTTATTATTATTATTATTATTATTATTATTAATATAATTTAAAATAATGATATAGCACTTTACAATTCTAGAATGGGAATATTTGAAAAGTAACTGACAAACATGATATGAAGTGGCTCAAACAAGTTTACAATATATGAAAAAGGGGTAAAAAAAATCAGTTCTTGACAATTGACCTTGTAAATATTATTGTTAGTGCCACGCACACACACACACACCCTACCTGCATAGACACACACGCATGCTACCTGTATGCACAAACAAACACGCGCACATTCCATGTGAATTAGTTTGAGGGCCATTAATGGATGGTCACCAACAGAGACGCAGATAACTGTCAACGAGTTGTTTTATTTGACACTGAAAAGGTTTATACTTTGTCAATATGGATCAGGATAGGGCCCCCACCCGTTTACTGTCAATAAAAACCACAGGAGGCTGCTTGCTCTGTCTGTATCTGGCTTAATTACAGCCTTACTATGCCATTTGTATCACTGGTACCCAAAGAGAGATCCCAAAATACGACTTCCCTGACTGGGCGGCACACTGGGGGATTTACACGTAAATATTCAGATCGTTTATTAATAATATAATTTCTGATCTCATATTAGCCCCATCTATTATTCAAAAACACATACCTCCACTAGGAGGTTATTCCAGGTACCTACTACCATTCCTATGTAGGCTGTATAACTTTCGCTGGAAGGCTGTTCCAGGTACCTCCTACCATTCCTATGTAGGCTGTATAACTTTCACTGGAAGGCTGTTCCAGGTACCTCCTACCATTCCTATGTAGGCTGTATAACTTTCACTGGAAGGCTGTTCCAGGTACCTCCTACCATTCCTATGTAGGCTGTATAACTTTCACTGGAAGGCTGTTCCAGGTACCTCCTACCATTACTATGTAGGCTGTATAACTTTCACTGGAAGGCTGTTCCAGGTGCCTACTACCATTCCTATGTAGGCTGTATAACCTTCACTGGAAGGCTGTTCCAGGTACCTCCTACCATTCCTATGTAGGCTGTATAACTTTCACTTGAAGGCTGTTCCAGGTACCTCCTACCATTCCTATGTAGGCTGTATAACTTTCACTGGAAGGCTGTTCCAGGTGCCTACTACCATTCCTATGTAGACTGTATAACCTTCACTGGAAGGCTGTTCCAGGTACCTCCTACCATTCCTATGTAGGCTGTATAACTTTCGCTGGAAGGCTGTTCCAGGTACCTCCTACCATTCCTATGTAGGCTGTATAACTTTCACTGGAAGGCTGTTCCAGGTACCTGCTACCATTCCTATGTAGGCTGTATAACCTTCACTGGAAGGCTGTTCCAGGTACCTGCTACCATTCCTATGTAGGCTATATAACTTTCGCTGGAAGGCTGTTCCAGGTACCTCCTACCATTCCTATGTAGGCTGTATAACTTTCACTGGAAGGCTGTTCCAGGTACCTCCTACCATTCCTATGTAGGCTATATAACTTTCGCTGGAAGGCTGTTCCAGGTACCTCCTACCATTCCTATGTAGGCTGTATAACTTTCACTGGAAGGCTGTTCCAGGTACCTCCTACCATTCCTATGTAGGCTGTATAACTTTCACTGGAAGGCTGTTCCAGGTACCTCCTACCATTCCTATGTAGGCTGTATAACTTTCACTGGAAGGCTGTTCCAGGTGCCTCCTACCATTCCTATGTAGGCTGTATAACCTTCACTGGAAGGCTGTTCCAGGTACCTCCTACCATTCCTATGTAGGCTGTATAACTTTCACTGGAAGGCTGTTCCAGGTACCTCCTACCATTCCTATGTAGGCTGTATAACTTTCACTGGAAGGCTGTTCCAGGTACCTGCTACCATTCCTATTTAGGCTGTATAACTTTCACTGGAAGGCTGTTCCAGGTACCTCCTACCATTCCTATGTAGGCTGTATAACCTTCACTGGAAGGCTGTTCCAGGTACCTCCTACCATTCCTATGTAGGCTGTATAACCTTCACTGGAAGGCTGTTCCAGGTGCCTACTACCATTCCTATGTAGGCTGTATAACCTTCACTGGAAGGCTGTACTGAAACGTGACAGTAAAATTCAATCATTATTTTGACTGTATTAAAGTTTTCCAAAAGTTTCAGAAGACCGCCACATTTGGCAGGGAGAAGTAAAACAGAATCTGTCTGAAACAACTGGTGGATAATCCATTAATCTGTTGTATCAGTGAAAACATGGTGTATATTCAAAATTGACAGATAGGGAACAAAAAGCAACAGATTCAAGGTGAATTCAAACTGAATTTCAAGCGTAAACGGCTACTCCGACCACCATGGCTACTTTAGTGTCTTGAAGTGGTCATGGTGGTAGGAGTATGTGCACATAGTGTTTCAGTTTGAATCGCTGCCCAAAAGAAGTAATCTCCACTTTTAAAACAATGTTTTTTTTAGTTTTTTAAATCCTCCCTCCTCCTCCCCACTAACATCTTCCACTTGCAGGATCAGATTTCGCACATGCGCTCTGAGCCATTCAATTGGTCCAATCACAGGCTTCAGCCTGCAGCTGCCCTGACGTCGTAAAGAGGCGTGGAACGCTTCGCTGTGAGCTTGGTCCGGCGCTGGATTCCAGGTTAGTTTTAACTTATTTTATGATTAACAAAGCAGTTTGACAATTGTTCTGGTGCCCAACAAGGCATTACGAGCTAAGACATACTTTATGTGACAAAGGGTTATTGTAACCGATTAAGGTCAAAGTAGCCAAATTTGAAAATTTAAAATTTACATTGAATTCTCACTTTGGTCAATAACCCTGTTAATTCATTGCAACAGAAATTTCTCTGAAAATGAGGCATTAGAGTGTCAGTGACACTTTGCTAAATATCCCCTATGATGTATGAGTCAGAAGGACAGACAGGTTTGAAGGGGCACTATAGTCACCAAAACAACTTTAGCTTAATGAAGCAGTTTTGGTGTATAGATCATGCTCCTGCAGTCTCACTGCTCAATTCTCTGCCATTTAGGAATTAAATCACTTTGTTAATGCAGCCTAGTCACACCTCCCTGCATGTGACTTACACGGCCTTTCTAAACTCTTCCTGTGAAGAGTCATCTAATTGTTATACTTCCTTATTGCAAATTATGTTTAATTTAGAATTTCTTATTCCCTGTTCAGTTAATAGCTTGCTAGACCCTCCAATAGCCTCCTGTATGTGAATAAAGTTCAATTTACAGAGCAGGAGACAAAAACTTTTAAAGTAAGTTGCATGCTATTGAAAATTAAACACTTTTGTTTTCATGCAGGCTGTGTCAGTCACAGTCAGGGGATGTGTGGCTAGGGCTGCATAAATAGAAACAAACGTGACTTAACTCCAAAATGGCAATGAATTATGCAGTGAAAATTCGTAGGCATGATCTATACACTAAAACCGCTTCATTAAGCTAAAGTTATTTTGGTGACTATAGTGTCTCTTTAAAATCACAAAAACAGATAGGTGGGAGAGACAGAGAGACGATGAACAGAGAGACAAACATACAAAGTGATGGGAGAGATAGAGAGATGAGCGATAGACACCTGGCTATACAGAGCTCTATTGACAGACTTCTGCCCAGTGTTATGATCTGTGAACCAAAACATCTCACTGTATAGACAACAAACAGACAGCGTGATCTATGTTTCCATATCACAGCACGGCCATTACACCGATTAACCCCTTTACTGCTGGACAGCCATAACTCACAGAGGGGATTACAACAGCCTTTCACTGCCAGAGTGTCCTTGTATTATATGATATGATATGTCCCTCATTGCCTCGATTTATACTCTTCTAAAACGAAATAGAAAATTCCCCTCTACTAAAATACATAAACAGCAATATTGCCTATATAGGCAGAGAGCACAGGTCTCTCATGGTAAATGTCATCTGATTATACTGCGCTGCAGAGCATGTTGGTGCTCTACAAATTTTAAACAATTCATTACATCTATCTTGGTCACAGCACATTGAGCTCTACTTGCATTCAACAGCAATTCTCTGGAGATCCCATAGTTGTAGCGTTGTTTTTTGTTTTTTTTTATACAGCGCCATGAAATTGCGCAGTGCTGGATACATTAAGTAACGGAATAACAGCAAAGATTTATTTAACTCACAGAAACAAAACAATGCTAACCAAAGCCAACAAAAAGGTAAACGACCTGGAATAATTCATTAAAAATAGAAGAGATTAATAATGAAATATTTTCTTGTAATAGGATTATTTAAAAAAAGACCTAAATCTTCAACATAGAATGGCACCTTTAACTTGCACAAAACAGTGGGATTTATTTGCTAAACATAGAATTGTAGTGAATTTGAAAGCCCCAAAAAACCATTAATCCATCTGTACTCACAGCTTGACTGCTTTAACCTATTTTCAATTTGCAAATTTGTGTTTAGTGAATAAGCCCCATCAGAGTATTTTACATTTACACACAGAACCCATCAAGGGGCCAGAATGTCACGATCGCCCCCCTTTAGCACAGGTGACTTAATCCTTCCTTTTGCAGTGACACACCGGTGTACCAGAACGGATGTCTTTAGATCGTGTGTGGTTACTGAGGATAAATTTGCACAATGCCAGGCCTCCCAGCTGCCCCGATTACGGTGGGCCAGTCCCACTATCCTGACTTTGTTCCCTGGTGTCTTATCTTATATAATTTACATTACAGAAACCATAAAAATACAGTAAAAAAAACTTCCTTGACAATAGTAAGTGAAAAGACTCCTTTCATTATTGTAACAGCCAGCATGAAATGGCAATTCTGGTTACTAAAGATAATACATACAGAATATGAAAGGAATGCTGTAAGCCCAGTGATGCCTAAAAGGTAGATCCCCAGATGTTTTAAAACTACAACCTCCACAATGCACTGTCATTCTAAAGGCATGCAAAGCATCATGGGAGTTGTGGTTCTACAACACCTGGAAATCTACATTTTGGGCAACCCTGCTGTAGCCCCTCTTTACTTGATCCTAGTATTTCAGAAATTATTCATGTATGACCTTGGACAATCAGCAGACAGATTCCATTGGTGACGGCTTCCCTTACAGAATATTCCTCACTTTTCAGAACAGAAACTTTGATAAATCTCCCCCATATTATCGCCTTTAACACTCCCACCACGCAGGGTACTTACACAGCCTGGGGTCTGCAATGTAATTTCGGGTCACTGCCAGCACGTGCTCCCTGGAAGCTGCCAAGTTTGCTTGGTGGCCGTTTACCCGGATGTCCACTTTAGTCGCCATGGTTGGAGCTGTGACCCTGTCAAGGTGTCTGTGGTTCTTATAGCAAGGTGAGGAAGGGGGCTGGCCGGTCTCGTGCTTTGATTATTCCAGGTATGACTGCCCTGCCCTGGCTGTGCTGTGTGGGCTCTGAATGCCTGTCGCTGGCTGGACCCTGACAAAACCATTCCCATGTTTACTGTAAACCTGTCACAGCTCACCGCCTTTACTGCATCACAGTGCAGAGTGTGTAAGGGCAATTAACACTACGAGGCCCAAAACGGCGATAGCCTTTTATACCTGAGAATTAGTGATAGCCATTCGGTTTTATTTCACCTACTGTAAGCTGCAACTCACATTGTGCTAAGGCAGACACAGGTGCCAGAGGTTGCTTATTCTTACAGAGAAACAACGTTGTCTTTCCCAGGATGAAATATTTTAACTTCTGAAACATTTAATTCAATATATGATAATTTTTTAATTTTTTTTTAACAAATCTTTATTTGTTTAAGTTTCATACAGCAGTGCAGTCAGTGGCGAAGGCTCCTCCACAGATGCAGCAGAAAGCATACTTCATTATCATCCTCAAAAATACGTGGCATCTCAGATGTGCAATATACCAGGTCACCAGCCACCGCCTGAGCGTCACCACCTCCAAGAGAAAGGAGAGAACAGTGAGGGGAGATCTGAGATTGGGGAGAAGGGAGGAGAGAGAAAATAAAAAATGGATGGGGGAGATGGGGTGAGGGTTTATTTTGTTGTATTGGACTTTTCTAGTCTATGGGCTCTTTCTTATTAAGTTAAAAGAATAGTATTGCATCCAGGGGAACCAAGCGGCCATGTATTTGGCCGTAGTTATCATCATTTCCATCGTATATATTTCTTCTACTCTCTGCATCCACTGTTGGACGCTAGAGGCGATGGGATCAGACTCCTCGCAGCAGTTAGCAGATGTTTCATGAGGGACTTCTTATAAGTGCGTAAGGAGAGATATGTTTTGTAGCAATACTATGTCTGGTGTGAAGGGGACATCCTCCCCAGTGATGTATTTTATGTGTCTGCAGATCACCTTCCAATATGTTGAGATGATCGAGCCTGACCAGAACAGGTGAAGCATCGTGCCAGGTTCTGCAAGACCTCTCCAGCACAAGTCAGGCTGGTCCGGCAAGATTTTATTTATCATGATTGGAGTCCTGTACCATTGGCTTAGGGTTTTGAAATGAATTTCTTGCAAACCGGAGCAGATGGTGCTCTTAAGCAGAAAGCATAGTTTTCTGCCATGACTCCTCTGTTAGGGAAACCCCTTATTGTCTCTCCAAAGGACATTTTGGCATTGACAAGGAGGATAGTCAAAACTTTTTTTTTTTTTTTGATTGTTAACATAAATTGTATATAGCTCTCCTTGTGCACATTTAGCATGTGGTTACACTTTCTTGATTTCCTTAGTATCTATCCTCTAAATAAAGTAAGAAAGATGAGACAGGGGGGATATAATCGAAAGATTTAAATACATAAAGGGAATCAACACAGTAAAGGAGGAGACTATATTTAAAATAAGAAAAACTACCACAACAAGAGGACATAGTCTTAAATTAGAGGGACAAAGGTTTAAAAATAATATCAGGAAGTATTACTGAGAGGGTAGTGGATGCATGGAATAGCCTTCCAGCTGAAGTGGTAGAGGTTAACACCGTAAAGGAGTTTAAGCATGCGTGGGATAGGCATAAGGCTATACTACCTATAAGATAAGGCTAGGTACTAATGAAAGTATTTAGAACATTAGGCAGACTAGATGGGCCGAATGGTTCTTATCTGCCGTCACATTCTATGTTTCTCTATGGTGAAACCTCCCTTGTCTGATCTATTTGTCCATCCTTCTGTATGTCTGATTTATAGCACACATAGCAGCACAGACTTTACTTCCAAATATATATCCTTTGTTGATTCTGTGGTCTGTATTTTTTTCAGTTCTATATTTTTGTTATGGTTATTTTTTTATTTTTTTTTACATTCTGCTTCCATGAAACTCTGTCCTCTTTGGATTATAAAAATCTGGATTAAAATTAATTAAAATTATTGAACTCTCAATTTCACCTGACAAAACAGAACTGGGATTTGTCAGATAGAATATTCTGAAACCGAAGCAAAACATGTTATGTGAGAGTATTGAAGTGGAAAAGTCACTTCTTGAAATTTAGAACGCTAAAAATATTTCTGAGTAGTTTAGATAAGTTTACATTTAAATTCAGAGGGTACAATCAGAGCCAGAGCCAAATATGTTGACTAGATGCTAATCTTGCAGTGTTTGTGTAAACAAAACCACAATAAAATGGTTTACGTATAACTCAGAGAAAAATTTGTATACGAGTATTTATTTACTTTGACCTTGTCAAATGGTTCGCCCAAATTCAGGGGGCAACAAGAAGGCCTTATTGACCAGACAGTTAATTGCTGCAAGCTGATAAGCTGTTTGAGAAATGTAAGACTAAAATAACGTAATTGGAGATTCTCCCCAACTTTGTCATTTGGCTGAGGTATTAAAAGGGAAATAGAGAAAAAGAGGTAGAATATTATTATATTGCATGGGATTGCTTCTGTTGCACGAAAATAGTGATTTATTCAAAAATGAATTCCAGCTGCCTTGCTATTTCCCATGAGCCATCCGGAGACGCGAATGGCTTCCAGGAAAACATATGGGCAATGAGATATTTGGAAGACTTCGCAGTCTTTCACTGATCTCCCCCTTTGCACTTTGAATCATGTAAGTAAATGCAGAAATGGTATGGGTACAGGTGGTAAGGTGGAGAGTAAAAGAAGATGACACATTGGGCTGTAATCATTGGCTGAGAAAACAGAGCTAACCCACAGTGCTCAACGCGTTTCGCTGCTATCCAGTTTGAACAAAATGCAGAAGCAATCATTGCATTATCGATGAGGTGAATAAGGGGGTAACCGCCGAGTGCAAAGAAAGCACTGATCTTATTGATTCGATTCTAAATAATATGATATTAAACCAGGGGTCAGCGAGCTGCTAGAAATTGTTGCTTAGTGTTTCACTATACAAACTGCACTCATGGACAGTGTATACTGCAATGCCACTTACAGGGGATCTGTCACTGCTCTGGAAATTACACCATTAAATAAAACATTTAAAATTACATCCGGCCTTTTTATGCAATGTTCCATTTTTTAAATGTCTTAAAGATCAGGAAGTGACATAATCCAATTCAGTCCTGATACACTCACTAAAATGGCCGTAGCAAATCAAAGTGATCTACATATAGTGGTCACGTTTCTTTATAGCCCCTGACGAACATGCCATGAGGAACATTGAAATTCTTTTTGTTTTCATTTGAGCTACACGATCTCGATGTGTAGTGGTATCATTTATACAGCGATTTCAGAGAGGGATAGAGAGAGCATGTCTATTTCACCATTATTGTACAGTACTTGACTAAATCTTTAATGATCCCCTTGGTTAACTTGTCCTTATGTAACATGGGGCTATCCCACTAGTAGTCAATAGTATTGTTAAGATAGCTGTAATGGATAAGGTGTTGACTAGTTAGATTTTAGTTATTGATAGCCCTGTCTCTCCTCTAATATCTCTTCTCTCCAATCCCGTTATTCTATCCTGTCTATATGGGAGTTTCTCCTTATGGGCTTTATTCTGTGAGACCGTATCAAGGTGAGCTTTTAAACTGAGATAGGAGATGTTGTAAGATTGTGATGAATGATGGCTGCACCAGTGTTTTTGATAGCTGCACTCTAATAAGACTCATTTAATAATGGGTGTAGTTAAAGGAATAATACAGTGACTGTACATGAACCACTACGTTAACATGTAGTAATTTAAATGACTATAGTGTCCCTTTAAGACCTATAAGAAGGGTGAAAACTCTTTTGCTACACTGTAGGTTACACTAACACTGTGAGTATTTTGTTTAATGCTTCTGATCCTGTAACTATCCATTCACCATTAACTATAACTAGTTTTATATTACTAGGTACTGGGTCTCTCTGTATTGGGGATACTCGATTTAAAAAAAAAAAAATTTCCATTTAATATTGAAACATAAACATTATTTTCTAGAGTTCCTCTCTCTGTGATGACTGCCAGTGGTAAGTGCATATGACACAGCTTTTACCAATTAATGAGCGGGAGCTAAGATGGAGGCACCCAGAGGCAGGATAGAAAGGCATTGCTTTGTACATTTCATTTTATTTATTACTCCTCACAAACACATATTAAATATAGGGATAGGTAAACAAAATATTAATAATTCTGGGAAGTGACATTCCCATTTAAATACTGTTGCTTCCACCCCTACTTACGGGATTTCTGTTGAGCCCCCCGTGCCCCTGTAGCATTGTATTATGTGCAAATACAAAAATCTTACAGAAAATCAAACAATGGAAATAATGGATAGGAGGCATTTGTGTATAAAGCTATAGGTTCCACGTGATGCTTGGAGGTAAGATGCAAACAACTGTGATAAAGTAATAGCATTCCACTGGTAGGATGTAAATGTTACATACTGCAGGGCTCCCAGCAAATCAAACACGCGGCGTGCTGCATTTATTGTACGGTACCATGTATGGTTTGCTGTGGGAGGTGCGGCTGTTTTATGTAGCATCCGGTGAGGCCCGGGGGATGTTTTCCCAGTCCGCCCCTGGCAAGGCTACTCTGTATCTCTGGACAGCATGCACAAAATGTGACCAATGTCTGGGATCCCGTATACACCTATCCTGTGCACGTCCTCTATAGGACATTAGTTTGCTGAGCCGGATATTCTTTATGTTTCCATTCTGTACCACCATTTCTGTATCTTCTTTACAGCTTGGATTCAGTTAGAATCAGTGAATCCCTGTCTTCAAGAGACAGCTGATGCAAATCATTACATTATTTTAGGGTAACTCAAAGGAGGGCCGCTGGTCCTGAACAGCTGGAGTCTACAATTTGTGAATTCGACAAATAGGGCATGTGTGAGAGAAACAGGGGGAGAGTTACTCAGCTGATCTGAAAAGTATATTTTTATTTTTGTATCCAATTTGTTTGAATTTATTACATTGTTAGAATTTTCTACCTAAATTCTGCCACTTTTCTCAGAAATAGCCATTTCATTGAAGACCACCAAGTTTAGAGTGGTGGAAAAGAGAGAAGCGAAA